AATCTGGTATATTGTATACATTAAGAAAAGATACGCAAAGAGAATATTTACAATATTTCCCTGTATTTGGCAAAGAAATAGAAGATATACTTGGATTAACATATAATGATGACAGTATGGGAGAGATATCTTTTCATAAGTACTTATGTAATCATGATAATATTTTTTTTAATTCTAATTATATACACTGTTTAGAAAACATTGTTACTAATGATGAATATCCTTACAAAAAGTATAAAGCACATAGATGTGTTCAGCTTAATGCTGGACTTCATTCGTTATTTGTGTATTGTGATATTGTTGACCATAATTTAGTTGGTGACGCGTCTGCGCAATTGTTACGAGTGGTAGAAATACCTCACAGTTATAAATTTGGTGAACAAATTAATATAATTTACAACAGTTTACATTTTGTACCGTTAGTAAATAACACTTTTAAAGAAATTAGAATTAACATTAAGGAAGATACAGGTAAAGATTTTCCTTTTGAATTTGGTAGAGTTATAATCAAACTTTGTTTTAAAAAATATGGATAATCCATACATTCTTTATTATACAAATCAAGCCGGTAGTGGTTTAAGTGGATTTGAAGGATATCAATATCAAAGAGGTCATGGATTTTTTGGAGATCTATGGAATAAAGCTATTAAGCCTTTAGGAAGATATTTAGGAAAGCACCTACTTGGTATAGGAGCTGATGTTGGTAGAGACGTAATTGAAGGTAAAAGCTTTGGAGAGTCAGCTAAAAAAAGATTCTTAGAAACTGGTGCTACTATATTAACCGATGGTGCTGAAAAAGCTAGATCATATGCACAGGCTGGTTCAGGTAGACGTAGACGCAGACGTAGACGACCAAAGAAAAAAATAGAAGTTAAAAAAGTTAAAACTAAAAGACGAAAAAACACTAGAAAAGTAAAAGGTAGGAAAAGAAAATCAGTTAAAAAACGACATTCAAAGAAGAAAGATCAACTTTTTAATTTTTAAATTATGGCTGCAATTCATAAATTATCCAGTGTAACAGCATTGAGTGAATTTGATATATTTGGAGTTCCTCCAACTCAAAATACTATAGAAAAAGATATTTTGACAGAACATAGACCAGCATCAGCAATTGATTCTAAAGCTTATATTGAATTTAATTTATCAACTGGAATTGACGAATATCTTAGACTAGATAAAACATATTTATATATTAAACTACAGATTAATATTGAAAAAGTTTTAAAAGCAACTGTTGTTGCTGCTGATTGGGAAAAAGTTTCACCAGTTAATAATTTATTTAATTCTTTATTTAAACAAGTAAATTTGATGATTGGAGATAGAATTGTAACATTATCTCATCAAACGTATCCTTATAAATCCGATTTAGAAATAAAATTAGGAAAAAATAAAGAAGCAAAAGATTCGTATTTATCATCAATTTTATGGATAGAAGATAATTTGGACGACTTAGAAGGAATTAACTTAAATAGAACTAGTTACATTAAACCATTAACAGGTGAACCTGATTTATCAAAAGGTCGAGAATTAGATTTAATTGGCAAGTTACATATTCCTATGTTTGAACAAGGCAAAGCATTACTAGGAGGGTGTAATATTTCGTTAAAATTAATCCCCAATTCCCCATCATTCTATATGATGTGTGACAGTAGTGTTAGAATATCTAATGTTGAATTTAAAGATGCTTCTTTATACATTCATCGGTCAAAAATTAACCCAGCCGTCGTCGAAGGTCATAAGATGGCATTATTAAAACCAGCAAATGTAAGATATCCAATTAGAGAAAGTTTTGTTGTTCCTATTACAATAAATAAAGGAACTATGGATACTATCATTGATAATGTACACAATGGCCAATTACCTAGAAGAGCATTCGTTACAATGGTTGATCATAGTGCATTTAATGGCTCTGAAATAAAAAATCCTTATAATTATAAAAACTACAATCTAAATTATCTGGCGTTCTATTTAAACGGTATACAGTATCCAGAAAAAGCTTTTACTCCTGATTTTGACAAAAATCTTTATGTACGGGAATATATAAGTTTATTTGAAGCAACCAATCAGGACAATATTGACAGTTGTATAACCTTAAAAAGACAAGACTTTCCAAAAGGAAACAATATATTTGCTGTTAATTTTAACCCAGATTTATCTTCAGGTTGCTGTGCAACAGGTTATGTTAATCCAATTAAACACGGTAATCTAAGATTACAACTAAGATTCAAAGAACCTTTAGCAAACGCTATAACGGTTTTAGTATATTTGGATTATGACGCATTACTTGAGATCGATTACGATAGAAACCCTATTTATACGTTCAATTAATGGATACTCTAACAATAAACAAACTATTAAAAACATTTAGTTGTTTTAAAGGAGTCTATAGTTCAGACAATATACCTAAGTTTGACAAATTACCTATAAACATTATTGTTAACACTGATCCATCTTATAAACCAGGAGAACATTGGGTAGCAATTTCAATAAACAAAGATGGTTATGGAGAATATTTTGACTCATTTGGATTACCTCCGCTAAAAGAAGATATATTTAACTATTTAGAAACTAAATGCAGACTTGGTTGGACATACAATAAAGTAACATTACAAAATATTAAATCTACTACATGTGGACATTATTGTGTTTTGTATATAATTTATCGTTGTCAAAATCTATCAACTCGCGCATACATTTCAAAATTTAGTAGAAACACTTTAGCAAACGATAAACTTATGAGAGAAATATTCAACAACTTTTCGTTAGCTAAGAAAGATTAACTAAAATGGATTCGGATAAAATTAGAAAAATCTGTGCAATTGTTGATATGCAAGGTTTTATGATTAGAAGTAATTTTTATCCTAGAGAACTTGCAATTGTTAATCATAAAATAAAGACCTCTTATGAAATTGAATGCAATATACAAAAACAAGAAAAAAAGAAATTTTGGAAATCATTACTTTATCAAACAAAAAATATTCATGGAATTACACTAAATAACAGTTTACCACAGTATTATTACCGAACAATAAAATATGACAATTTGGAGAAATTTCTAAAATCAACATACTTTTATTTAAAAACAGATGACAAACCATATTTAGGTGTAAAGAATCCTCAACTATTATATATTTTAGAGAATTTAGAAATTCCCTGTGTTGACCTATCTCCTGATGATTCATCTCAAGAAATATGTCCGCCGTTACATTTATTCGATAAATTAATAACATCAAATCAATATTGTTATTTACATGGATTTATAAATAAAGATAAAAGTTCAAAATTAATGAGATGTGCTTTAAGAAAAAGTTGTTTTATTTGGGATTATTTACAACAAAAAATTTTAGCTGAAAATTTATTGCATATGACTTTACTAGATGACAAATGTAAAACAACAAAAAAAGTTTCATTTGCGTCTGCTCATACTTTATTATAAATACAAAACATTACAAACAAATTGTCTTTATTTTAACTTTAGACTAACTAACAACCACACATAAACATTATTTGCAATGGATAAACAAATTTTTGAAACTATTTTCTCAGCAAATTTGTCAGAATCTGACAAATATGCTAAAAAAGTTTTGAGTTTAAAACGTAAGATAAGTGATCCTGAATTTCTTTTGGTCGACATTAGAGGTTCATATAAAAATCTACCAGCAAGACAAGGCATTTGTTTAACTGCTTTTGAATTTGATTGGCTAGCACGGTCATTGGCATTTTCAGGACAAATTAACGACACTGATAATCGTATACTTAAGAGTAAAAAATCGGCACGTGAGCTAATTATAAAACAATCTTCATCTACAAACAACTTTGTTATAATGCAAAACGTTAATGACCAAGGAAGACATATTACTTTACACAAACATGAAATAACTGTTTTGCTGGAAAAATATGGTTGTTTTTTTGATTTAATTGAAAAAATGGAATCTGGAGAAAACGATAATCATCTCTGCAACGATCACAAAGTTGGACATTGTGCACCCTTTGAAGTTTCGAAACAACCTAATTAATAATTATTTTTTTAATAATATTTAAACATTTTATTTTTAATTATAATTTTATAATCTATATATATTTTTTAATATTTTTTTTATTTTTAATTTTAATATGTAATCATTTTTTTATTTTAATCAATAAAATATTTTTTTGTAAAAAAAATCAGTTAGAGGATGTGTTATGTTATGTAATTTAGGTAATTAATACATTGTATTAATTGCGATTTTACAAAACATTTCTCATTGTTTAACTTCATCAGTTATCACATTTTCAGTAACTACCAATGAAATCTTCATAACTTTTACCACTCTAAAACCTTTAAAATTTTCCCTCCCCCTGAAAACTAAATCTCCCCTCCCAAAAAACAACTGTTTTATAACCTTGAACAGTTTTTCTAACTTCGAGTTTTACTAATACTAGCCAAACCTTAGGCTATGAATGCTGCTCAGTGAATGGCTATTGATCGTCTTCGTTCACTACTACTAATAATATATTGTTTAGGCCTGTAATTAGTAATATCAGTAATATTATAGACTATAAGTAACTTCTATCATAGTATTACATTGCATTATAAAATACAGTATTACTAAACCATTAATATTTAAACTATATATTTTATAAATTACAAAAGTTTAATTAATTTAAATAGATCTGTTAGCAATATTGAAATGTTATTGACATTATAAATTAACATTTATATTATTTATTAAAAAAGATTTAAGTTTAAGTATTTATTTTAAAAAACTCACAAAATAAATTATTAATTAATTAATTATTCAAAACAATAGTTTAGAAARTTTAGAAATATTATGATTTTATGATTGAGTATATATTTCCAAAAAAATTCCAAAACTATTTTTTAATTTGTATATATATTGACTAATAATTTATTAAAATTCAAATTAATAATATTGAGTTTTATTATAATTTATAATGATATACTGTAAACTTTTATAATACTACAGATTATAAATGATAAATAATTTATTTTAATTTCCATACAAAAACTGACTAAACAATTACAGATATTTTTAATTTTTATAATTTTAGATTTTAACGACAGAACAACTCTGAGATTTACAGTCATTTAATAGGTTAATAAATATACTTAACTATCGCAAGTCATGACTATTATACAGAAACCATCGCTGAAGGAACCGACCGACGATGAAAAAGAGGCTATCATTCAAATGAGAGATGCATTTCAATCAGAAGTTACCGAAAACCCAGATTTGTATTACAAGAAAGATGTGGAGCGGGTGCTRACCAACGACTGGGAAGTACATCGGTATCTGTTGGCAGCCGACGGCAACATMAGTGCTGGACTGACYCGATTGACTAATTCAATGAAATGGCGCAAACAGTGGTCGGTATGGGATATGTGCGAACAGGACTTTCCGCGAGAGTTCTATCAAATGCTACGCTTYGGTCGGGCGGACAACGGATCCGTTTTGGTGATAAGCAGAGCGCAGTTTTATATACCTATCGATGAATGGCGAGAGTTGTTCAAAAAGTTTTACATATTTGTCTTGGAATCGTTGGACAGACAAAACACTGGCGATGGCGTAACAATACTATTTGATTTGCGTGACTGCGGTATCTGTAATGTCGATCTCGATTTCATCTGGTTTTTGAAACCCATTCAAAGCAAATACTATCCAATGCTATTGAAACTACAGCTTAACTGTGACATACCGTGGGTACTGAACTCCATTTCCCAACTCATACTATCACTAATGCCCGAAAAGACGCGCAAAATCATGCTTTTTGTCAAACGAGAAGAACTACAACAGTATATTAGACCAGAGTATATACCGGTTTATTTAGGCGGCACTGGAAGTGATAATACATCGTGGAAACCGGACAACTGCTTGACCGCCGAGGAAATGGTCACTCAGAGACCCGAAATAACTGATAAAAGTTTGGCTAAACTCTTAAAACATATAAATCCTTTGATTAAATTATGCGATCCATAGTTTACATATTGAACAAYATTTTAAGCGCAYTGTTATTACTTTTATGTTTTTATATTTATTCAATAGTTTACAATTTTATTATATTTTAATGAAAACCAAATTAAGCATTACATATGTTTTSTATAAAWTTGAARTTACTTATTTATTAATTTTTAAATTTGTTTAATAGTTAGTCAATAACTGAAATCATGTAACATTACTGTAYAGTATAATCACAATGTTTTTATGTATAAATTGTTTAATAATAACAATATTTTTAAAAATCTGTTCATAAGTACATATATATATAAAATAGATATTAAGAAATAAAAATTTATTATACAATTCGAAAAATCAAATTATTCGATAACATTTAAAAATTGACTGAAAATTTTGCAATWAATTTCCAAACATTAGTTATGATGTTATGATARTATTTTGCTARCATTTAATAAATCTGTTATTTTAATAKTTCACAYATATTTTCAAAAAAATCTAATTTCTGATAAGTAATCATTTGTTTATTATAAAAGCTGATTATTAGAAAAATCATTTAAAACTATCAATACTTTAAAGATTAATYTTTATTAAAATRTGATTACGATWACTATAATTAAAAAYCATATCAYGTACTGTACTTACTATATTGATATATYAATATTTTAAATTAGAAATTAGTAAAAAAACTTTTAAATTTGTATTATTTAAAAAATCTAATACTATTGATAATAACAATGGGATCATCACCTGAAACCGTACTCTTGGAAAACTCTTCATTTCATAACCCAGTGCTTAATGTTAGCGATGCTAACAAAAAACAATYGGTAGGTTYTGTAATAAAATTATAAAAACAAAAAATATGTATAATTTTTATTTTATTTGTGCCAACAATAAGGTCAATGCTATAGTTAGTGAATATATATTATCAATAACTAAAGTTAAACGACTTAAACAAATGTTTGCTGAAGAAATGAAATTGGGATTACAGTCTAAACCTTTGCGTAAGTCATGCTTTTATATGATCAACACTTTTGTTACCACCGATTGGATCGACGGTACAGAATGTGGCGATTATCTGGCCATTGATATCGGTGGCAGTAAYTGTCGTGTTGTGCTCTGTCGGCTAAAACCCGATAGTGAACCGGAATTTCGGATTCAACACTACGGGCTAACTATAGCACAAAGACAGGGATCCAGAGCTGAAAAAGTAGGCATAATTATATAATTTTAKTGTCTAAATTGTTTTTGTATATAGTTTTTCGATCTATTGGCTCAATATATTGGCGACTTCATCGGCAAACAAACAGATTTAAGTGACAAACGTCTACCACTGGGCTTCACATTTAGCTTTGGTTTTGATCAGTTGGCTATTGATAAGTCTGTAATACTGCARTGGGGTATACAAACCAACTTTCCTGATGCTAATGGTAARTGCGCCGTACAGTTGCTAAGAGATGCTATTGCYCGACAATGTCTTAATGTGGATGTTGTGTCCATTTCCAATGACATCACTACTACACTCATGTATGGAATGTTTTTAAAAACTGATACATACGTCAGCTATATATTGGGCTCAGGGATGAATGCCGCTTATATAGAAAGAGTGGATTGCATGGAAAAGTTAGATCCGATTAAAGCGTTTGGAAGAAAGTTAGACGAAGTAATAGTTAACATTGAGGCCGGTTTTATGGGCGATGACGGCGCCATTGATTTTGTTAAAAGTCGTTGGGATTTAGCCATAGACGAGGAATCTATGATACCTCATAGTCTTGGGTTAGATTTTTTAATTTATTGTATAATAATTAAAATAATTAGATTATATAAAATTATAGATTTGAGAAACTAATCGGCGGTTTTTTCATCGGAGAGCTTGTCCGCCGTACTCTCGTAACTTTGGCTAAAAATAATGTGTTTATTGGCGGACACATTACCGACTGTCTCAGTGAAAAGTTTACAATTAAAGGTCCGGATGTGTCGGCTATTGAAACAGAAAACTTATCTAAAGATTCAGTAATTAAAATACTTCAGCGATTAGGCTATAATTCGTCAGAAATAACCACAGATGACATTGAAATTGTTAGATATGTTTCAGCTTTAATCAGTGTCCGTAACGCACAGTTAATCGCTTCGAGTATAATATCATTTTTATTACTTTAATAATAATTATATATTGAATTAAATAAATTGTTTTACAGCTATTGCAGCAATTGTTGAACGCATAGACAAACCACTGATAAGAGTAGCATTTGATGGTTCTCTCTATAAATATCACCCAAAACTTCATACATTGATCACCGATTTTATCGCTCAATTAGTTCCCATTAACAAAAGGGTTGAGTTATTTTTGGCCGATGATGGCAGTGGTAAAGGTGGAGCTCTGGTGGCAGCTATGGCGGCAAAAACTAAACAATTTGTTTAGTTAACCATTTAGTAAATATTAACAAAAATTAGCTCAATTTATAAATAAAATGATAGACTAATTTTCAAATTAAATAAACTTTATTACTATAATATTAATAATAAAATAATAATTATGTTAAATCTAGTAATGTTTTAAATAATTATAGTAATTATTATTGATTACATTTAAATGGTATAATTTATAAAATTTATATATAAGACTTTTCAATCAAATGTCTAAACGATAAATAAAAAAATAAATGAATTAAATGAAAACAAGTTTAGATAACATTAAACTCAATCTAAAAAATAAATAAACTGAAAAATTTTGTAAATTAATTAATAAAAATAAAATTTGAGACAATGAATGATAGACACAAATAGTGCAATCAATTTGATGAATAAGTTGTCTCTTTGGTTAACTGCTGATTGAATGCCATTTTTTGTTGAATTTGTTATTATCAACGGTGTAGTCGTAGTGACCGATGTATTGACCGATGCATTCATTACGACTTCAGTCGCAACGGAATCTGATTTTGATGGCAATGCCGTTGACTCAACAGATTGTGTCGAGACTTGAGCTGAAGGCAATAGATCATTGACATTACCACCATCAGGATTAGCTCTCATTTCTGTTTTTGGGACATTTGATTTAGAATCCGATGGATTTGTTAATGAATTTTCTTTAGGAGGCGGTATTTGTCCTTTGATTGGTATAATGCTATTATCGCAGGGCAACCATTGTTGACATATAGGATCATTGATGACTTTGATGGCCACCTCTTGGCATTGTTTGAGCAAAATGTTTTTCATGACGCACTTGGATCTAACCACTGGTTGATAGTTATCCCGAATTAATGACTGATAGTCTTCTGGTACTTCACAAAGGGCTGCACTCTGATCAGTAAAATCAAGTGATTATAAAAAATAATGTATGAAAACAATGAATTCAAAAGACAGTAATCCTTGACTAACCACTTTGTTGTCAATACACACGCTATCCATAGAYGAACAACAGTCGATCAAATTGGTGTCCTTTGAGCTAACTGTCCAGCTTTCAGTCGAACACTTTTTCAGTTTCTCTTTAATTTTGATGGTCTCGTCATTGCATTTTGGGTTCCACTCGCCATCGCACACAACTGTCCTTATTATCAAAGCATATAACAACCAAACTAGTGTTACAACCGATAACATCGACATTATCTTTGGCTGAACAGTAACTTTACAGATTTGRTAAATTTATTCAAAAAATAATCGTTAAAACATATCCTTTAAAATATATTGGAAAATAAATTTTTCATTTATAAGATCTCAATCTTATAGTTTTATGTCTCGCGTAAAGTCTATTAAATCTCAATAAATAATTTATTCAATAACTAGTTAGATCCATGTAATAAAATGTGTATCAATAGTTAACACGTGCAACAATACTCTCTCTCTCTCTCTCTCTCTCTCTCTCTCTCTCTCTCTCTCTCTCTCTCTCTCTCTTTACTAAAYAATGCWTTCACGCGCTATATAATATACAGTGTATTATAAAAAGTATATTTTATTAAATTATTTTTTATTTAATAAATTAAAATTATTAATAATCGCGCGACACATTAAAAGTAATTGTTTGAGTCACAGATATTTGACACAAACATTTCCAAATTATATAGTAGTATAGATATTTATATTTCTCTCTCTCTCTCTCTCTCTTAACTAAAAATTTTTAAAAATTCATTAAACAATGTTTTGCTCGCAATGCTATTATATTTGTAATACAGTAAATAAAYATACTGTAATATTTTTTTAAGTTATTACTAATAATAATAATTATTAATCGCTTTAAAAAGTATAATTATCAGATTCAGTGAATACTTTATTTTTAATAAATGTAGGAATAGGGKTGAGAATCAGTTATAATAATTGCTGTTTATTAAGCAAATTCTGTACATTATTTTATGTAATTTATATTAATTTTACAATATTTTTATTAGTTATAATAGTTTCTAACGTTTGATATTTTAATACTTTGTGATTAATTTAAGAATTACATGACAAAAAAATATTATAAAAAATATACTCTATACTGATAAACAATCATAAAAATTTAGTAAATTGAAACTGAATATAATGGTGTTATTTAAGTTGTTTATCAAATTGAATTCATATTATAATTATAGAAATATTAATGGCTGTTCTTTACTATAGCTGCCACTTGTTGTTCACGCGATTAATATTTAATACAATTTTAATGATAAATATACTAATGTCGCGTGAATTACAATTAATTTTTATTGTAAATAAATGTTAAATTAAAAAAATAAAATTTTCTACATAACAAATAAGTTATTAAATTAATTAACAACTTTAGGTTAGGTTAAGTTAACATTTTTGTAATACCATTATAATTAGCTTAAGGTTGAGAGGCGAACACCAGGTTATGTAATGGGACAAACACTAATACTTTTTAATAATTTATAATACCATAATACCAATACAGACATAACTTTCAATACAGACATATGATAGAAAACATTCTCTAATATAATGTATAATAAATTAATTGTAATTCACGCGACATTAGTATATTTATCGTTAAAATTGTATTAAATATTAATCGCGTGAACAACAAGTGGCAGCTATAGTAAAGAACCACCATATTAATAGCTATTCAACATATTTTGGTTGAGTCTTACTAACAAATCATTAATTAATATCTTAGTTTCTAACATTTATTCAACATTTAAATAACAACTATTACTATTCACCATATGTTGTTTAATTAATATTACATATCATATGTCACAATAATCATAATATGTACATTAATATACATGATTACACCTGCAAATTAAAATTTAATTAAATAAATATTAAAAAAAATAATTTTATTGATATTTTTAAAACTAAACCGTACACCATTGCATAACGTATACTAAATTGATATTACCAGTCGATATCATACACTTATTAAAGCATTGAATCTAACTATTATAGTTATTTATAATTATAATTTTAAACTTTATTAGTAATTTAGATATACATTACATATACATAATAATAAAAAATAATAATTATTGATAAAAAATATATTTCATTTTTAAAAACAATTTGATTTCGAAATTTAATAAATTGAAATTTATGAAATGGTATTATTTAAATTGTTTATTATAGATATTAATTTTAATGTCTATTCAACCGGATTTGGTATCATTTTGATTATTTTGCGATCAAATCCATTGAATTTTAATTATAATCTGAAATCKCTTTCTTTTTCTCATTTTTTCGATTATTCTTAACTTTCTGTTAGGAATTTATCGTCCATTGACTTCTATCATCAAATTTATGAAATTTATGAAATTTATCAGTTTTTTTAGTCACTTTTTTCTGATGGTTATCGTTGTCGTAGTCATCAAATTTAAACAATTTCTTTCAGTTATTTCCAATATTTTAATGATCTGTCAAATCCTTTGGATTTTATTTTATCTTTAAATTAAGTCTTTGTTTTCCTCATTAACACCTTTACAACAACTATTGTCAATATATTTATAAATAATTAAATATCCAAATCTTCTGCAAAAATATCTGAAATATCAATATAATGTCACAAATTATTTTAAATTGTCACTTAAGTTCAAAATTGTTTTATAGCATAAATTTTTGTAACACATTACATATTATTGTGTTAATATTTAAAAAATCAATACATATTTGACAAATAATATTTGTTAATCAATTCGTGAATTAAATTATTAGATATTAGATATACTCATTTAAAAATGATCTCTACGGTATTGTGTATTTTTAAAAATTGATCAATTATTATTTGAATTAAACAATAATTTTTATCTTAAATATATTTGTTATTTGGATTTTTGTTGTTGATAATAATTAAAGTATTTTTATAATAATTTATTTGTCAACAAAAAAATTAATTAAACAGTAGAACATATAAAACAATTTTGTATTTATCGGTTAAATATAGTTTAAATTTGTTTTTTGTTTTATTAAATTATTATAGATTTAGATTTATCCAATTTTGTATATGATTTACTACTGACCCTAAATCCTAACGACTCCATTGACTCAAGATTTTGGACGTTCAGGGGTTCCGTTTTTGGCATACCTGTGCTCTTCAATGCCTTTAAATTTTCTTTTCTTTCATAATATTCTTTTAATTTTCTTTTTTCTCTGTGTTTACGGCGTTCATCAAAACCTTTTGCATTAATTAAATTTTTAAATATAAAAGAATTCAATTAAACTTATATTAAATTATATAAATATTATTAATTGTTTTATAATACCAGTGCTCGTAGACTGTTGATCCTGAATCCCGTTTTCAATATATTCACCAGACTTTTCTAATTCAATTAATTTTGAATTTTCAATTGGTTTTGTTTTATCAGTTGAATTAAAATTTCCATTCATCTGATTGTTATTAGGTTTGTATTCATTTAACTTATTTTGTTTATTGCAACCTATTTTTATAAATGTAAAATAAAATAATAAATATTTTTTAAATAAATAACAAAAAAATAATATTTTTTTAAAGATTACCTAAATGATTGACATTTTTTGCTTTACTCTTTCTATTGTAGACCATAAAAGCCAATACTATAAGTAAGGCAATGATTATTATGACAATAAATACTAGAATCACAATAAGGGACAGTAGGCTTCCCGGTGATGACGTTTGGAAATTGCAATCAATTAATTTTTTCAAAATACACTTTAAAAGCAAATGAAATGATAAATGTTTTTTTTTAAATTATACATTAATTAAAAATATATCATTTATTACATTTTTGTAACAATTATAACAATATTTGAGTTGTTTGTGTGTGCGAAACACGCATACAATACCAATATTTGACTCTTCATATATTGCAATCAAATTGATATCATTTGACAATTGATTTATGAGAGACTGTTGTTTTTGTTTGCTATCTTTGTCGACATCGGAAGTCATGGTTAAACTATTATTTGAATATTCAATTTCGTATTGAAACACATTTCTTGTAATCAATCCAATTGTCTTATTGTATAATTGTCTGATAATATAGACTAATGGTTTGTCTAATTGTTTCGGTACTGTATAGGCTATGAATGAAACATTATTGTCAAAGTTGTCAAATATGGTCAGTTCAGGGATAGGTTGGTCTAACATTAGAGTTGTCATTGACTTCATAATACTACTACTATTATACTCAGATATAAATGCATTGGTGTTATTAAACTGCAAATGAGATTTTAAAAATAAATTGGATTTGAAACTTATTTATATAAAACTCAAATCTTGTACTGTATATATTATAACTGTATTATTCATAAAACATAAAATACTAACCTTCATAAATATGTAGTAAAATGTGTTATTATTTTGTTTAAAAGTATAGCCCATTTGAAAGTCATTATCAATAGTACCATATGATGGGTCATCCAGTGATAGTTTAGTGTCACTATAATCCAAAAGCCAATAATGTTTGTCCACAACTATGAGCCACATCTCAGATGAGTTAAGTGTATTGAGCCGTTGGACACCAAATACCGCATTTGTCTCAACTAACAGTTGATTACAAAAATTGATATCATTTATTGCCATCACTGGTAGGATATTCTGTAGTAAAACAATAACTACTGCTATGTTTTGATTGATCATAAAAGGCATTATTTTAACAAAAAAATCTATTAATTAAAACTTTAAGCTATTGTTTTAAAACCAAACATATGATGATAAAAATTATAACTAAAAAAACTTTTGATATTGAATTTCAGGTTTAATAGATTCACATTTATTCAGTAGAAAAAATACTATAAACAAAAATATTGAATTTATTGCATTTTTATAATTATAGATTGTAATTAAAGCTTATAGTAAATAATTATAAATTTTTTGAAATAATCACGTACTGTATTTTATTACTTGATTTATTAAAAAACATCCAATTGTTATAATAAATACATCAAAGTTACAAATAATGAAAAGTGTTTTTACTACTAATAACTTATTACAATTAATATGTCTAAAAAATATATCGATATATTTTTTAATTATCATAAAATTAACAGCATAGGAGTAATTATAACTTATAATTATAAATTATCTGACTATTAATTAAATATTAATACAAATAATTTATACTATAAATATTTTTAAATAATATTTTTTTTATTAATAACTATAAATTTTATAATTGTTGAAATACTGYACACTTTACATTWTAAATATTGGTGATATTCAATATTTCAATATTTAAAAAAAACTATAATGRTTATAAATAAAAATAATTAAATAATTAATTAAACAACATATGGTGAACAGTAATTGCTTTCATTTAAATGTTGCATAAATGTTAGATAATTGTCTTCCGATGTCTTTATTGCGTGTGTTATATCCAAATTCAATGCATTTTTGAATAGATCCCACACTCGTCTACCTTCAGGTGTATCGACAAAACGTTTAGCGATTGGCATTGGCTTACAAACATTGGCACAATTGTCTACATCAGGGAATAGGTAGTCGAAAAACGTAACCTCATTGGGATATAAAGCAAACTTTGGAAAGTATTTTTCAAATAATTTGTCCGGTAGTGATGTCTTGAGTCGTTTGATAGCTTCGGGAACCGTTGGTTTGACTCCTTTAATCAAATGATTGATGGGTCGGACAAAGTGGTCGTGAATATAACATAATTCGCCAAATCCTATCTGAAATGTCTCTTTTATTGAGGTATTGGTGAAATCGGTTAACATATCTGTTTCCAAATTAGTTAATACTGTCTTATTTAGATTAGAGTTATATTTGAGACCCAATCCATAATTTTCTGGCACAAGATTAAGATCTTCAGACAATTGCCAGCTCAGTACTACTAAATCTGCTCCCATCGCATGATATAAGTAAAAGATGGGATCGTTAGTAGCATACGGCATACTGAAGTCACCATTAAAGCCTCCGGCATACAGATGTCCTTTAAAGTGAGCGCTGTAGGCGACGTCAAGTCCTAATTGAGACCACATTTTAGAGTAATGTGGATTCATTTTATTATTAAATGCATTTATTTCTTTTGAAATACGGGTGCCATCATCTGATTGTGCGTAACTCATCAAAGATTTCAATCTCATCGAAACGGACTGTTTATCAAAACCACGTTCAATGACAGTACTGATCCATTCGGGTGACTCCCAAGCCTGCATGAACTTGTCATCTATCCATTGACGTCGTAAACAATGTGGTTCGGGATGTTTAACWATYTGTCCAGCAAACGGTCCGTCCGGTACACAGTAATCGTTTTGTGCATTACCTGCGCGACCAAAATAGTCCCAAATAATACTTAGGTGTGGTTCGGCATAATCGGTAAAGTARTTCCAATAGGGTAGAGTCACACTGGGATCCAAACGCATCATCTCTTTTTCCATTTCATTGATAAACCATCGATGCCAAGGCAAACCTTCACCATATTTGTGCACTTGTGGCCAACTTTTCAGATGAAATGCTGTCATGTAATCCATAAAACCGGTCGCATAAAGACGTTTAAACATTTCAATCAGTTTCTGGACTTCTACTTTTGACATACATTTAATGTCTTTACGTACGTGTAATCGTTTGCACGGTTGTCTTATTGGTCCCGTTTTAGCAAATCTTTTAATTAAATATTGTCTAACATTTTCGATCTCTTGTTCGGTAAACTCGGACTCATGAGTGCACTGTCGGTAAATCTGTTCRGAAAARTGTTCGCTATTAATATCTATGTTTTTATCTGATGTTTGTTGCGTTTGTGATAAACTAATTTGTATTTGTATTAATATAGTTAAAATAAAAACTATTTTAAAATACAATTCATTATTAAGTAATAAATTAGATCTAAATAAAATATTCAATTCAATAAAATATGGATTCAAAATTATTGTATTAAAAAACTATATATATATTATTTATATCAATATATTACAGTAATTAAAAAATATAGCATTTATTAAAGACAATTTCATTAAAAAGTAATTATTTTTAAAATCTGTGTAATTATTAATTAATATATAAATTGCGTTTCAATTGCTTAATACCGACAGGTTTTTCTTCAATAACTTTTGATAGGATTGAGATATTTTACTAAAAGTTATTGAAGAAAAACCTGTCTATCTTAAGCAATTGAAACGCAATGTAGTTGTTTTAATTATAATCATAAATACAAATTATAATTTACTAAAGTTTCTATTATTTAATAGATCCCACACTCATCTACCTTAAGCCGAATCGATAAAACGATTAGGAATTGGCATTGGTTTACAAACATTGGCACAATTGTCTACAATAGGGAACAGACAGTCGAAAAACGTTATCTCATTTGAATATAAAGCAAATTTTTGAAAGTATTTTTCAAATACTTTCTCTTGTAATAAACTCTTGAGTCTTTTGATAGCTTCGGGAACAGTTGGTTTGACTCCTTTAATCAAATCATTGATAGAGTCAACTGTTAGAGTCCCTGAACACCATATTGTTGAGTACTTTTATAAAAAGTATACAAAGTTCATAAAAATTTTAAAAATTAAAATTTCTTTAAATTAATACTTTAAATAAATTTTAAGACCCTTTTAGTACATATTATAGCATATTTTCTAAATATTTGAGTACTAAAATAAAAAAAACTGAGTTTCTCGGATCATATCAAACTGTATTACAAATGTTACATTTATTTATACATATATATAGTGCAGTAAATTAAAAAGTATTTAATTTGAAATAGTATTAATTAAAAATATATCGCTTTATTTTAGGCAAAAAAAAAGTTTGGTCACTATTTTGTTGATTTAGGTTTTATAGGTTTTGGTACATTTTGTTTGTATAGATGAACATATGGTTGGTTTCCCTGAAGCATATAATTACAGGACATATACATAAACTTATTGGTATTGTTGAATGTCTTGGCACAGCCAACATGTATACTAGTTTTCCACACAACTTGTGTAAAGTGATAGACGGGTTTGATTTCTCTACCTTTTCTCTGTTTAGTTGAATTATAGTCATAATCAACGATTTCATTATACCAGGCGTCCACTTGATAATTGCATTTCAATTTTCGCACCTCTTGTTCGGACCAAGTATTGGACTTACCGATAGACAACAGATTTTCACCGTAAGGATGCCATTTGGGATGTACTAAACGCCCGGTGCTCTTCAGCACATTCACTCTATACCACGCGTAGTCTATCAGCTGATTGTCAAATATAAAACATATAATTAATAATAAACTTAATTAAAGTTGTATTCAGATTACGTGTTGTGTGAGAGTCATGTTTGGTACGCCGTGTAGTGCACGCCATTTGTTATGAACGGCTACACAATCACGACTAAAATCAGTCATATTTGTCGGTGCCTTCGGATACGGATGACTACCCTTCGGTACACCACCTTTAGGCACGTCGTCGTCATTTGCGTTGATTGTTGTCAGCTCTCGGCTTATAAGTAATAATACAATCAACAAACATATCACATAATGTCTTATAATTTGCATTATATTTAATTAAAGTTAAATAAGTTAAATAAAACTAATAAAAAATTTTAAATGATAAAATGCAATAAATAAAACGTATTACAATATGGGAAATTTAATAAAATAAAACAAGTTTTGATACTGTACTGTGAAAATGCAAATTATATATTTTTGTGTAAGTAATAAACAATTAGTCATAATTTTTCTGAAGTTTATTTAATATTTATTTTATCAGTAATATTATCAATAGATATATACATTACTGTTATTGTGAATAACTTATTGAACTTATTGCTAAAACAATTAGTGACAAATACTACATTTATGTTTTGTCAAAAATTCAATATATGTTTATATAATATAAAATTGACTAAAAAATTAATTTTAATTTATCGAAAATATCTGTATAAGTTTAGTAAACTATTAAAATCATTTAACACACTAACAAAGATGTCTATTTAATTAATAAATTTTTAATTTATGCTAATTACCGTAATTTACTAGTAATAATATAGTATTACTTTTTACATTACTGTATAAAGGTTTATCAATTTTCATATTAATAGTGTACTTGTATAATAAATTTATTACTACAATATAAATAAATTGTAATATTTTGTTGGCTTTAAGCAAATTATACAGTATATGATATTTTTATGCTATAACTAATAAGACAAACATTAATCTTATGATTATAAGACCGGATTTTATTTCGCGCACAAATAAAAATTTAATTAAAAAGACATCACATAATAAGTATGATTTATAGAAAAAGATTTATAATTATTCCAATAAAAAAACTTCAAAAAAATAATTTAAAACAGCTTAATAAATTATTTTTGATATTAATTTTTAAATACAGTAGTTATTTACAATGTATTACAAACTATGATAAAAAATTAGACAATGTTTTAATGTTTTACATTTATATATACAAATGTACTAATACTTTGCTGAAGAAAAGTTATGATAAATAAAACAACAGTTAGATTACTAATAAATATAAACCTGTAATACAGTTAGATTTCATATACATTTAAAATTAAATTAAAAATAATATAGCGATTTATAGATTAATACAATTTTGGTACATTTTCTTTGTATAATCCGATAACATTACCGGGCGGGTCATACTGGCATATAACATACATAGTATGTGTTTTATCGCTGAATGATTTGGCACAACCTATAGTACCGGTGCGCTTCCAAACGACTTGAGTGAAATGGCCGGAAGTGCCTTTAGTGCCCGGCTTTTGTTTTCCTCTGTCGAAGTCATACAAGTCTATCTCGTCATACCAGAGCTTGACCGGCCAATTGCAGTCCAACGCAACCATCTGTTCCCGTGTGCCGGAAGATGACGACCGTTTGAATAGGTTTTCGCCGTACGGATTGCTGTCAATGTGGTTGAAGTCATTGGTTTTGGCCATATCTATGGCCCGACTCTGAGCGTACTCTACCAACTGTCATATTGTATAAAATTGTTATTTTTGTAAATATATTTTTTTACAATTTTATACTTTTTGTGAAACAGTCAGATACTGAGTTCGGTGTTTATATCGATAGTGATTGTGACTTACGGCACATTGACGGCTAAATTGATCCGGTGATACTGCCATTAAGTGATAAAAGTGTCTTAAATTTAATATTTAAAAAAAAAAATGATTTTCAACTTACTAATAAATATAACAACTATTGACACCAAAACTATAATAATAGCCATAACTATAACTATAAGAATTATATTGAAATGTGATTTGAAATCCATATTTACAGAAATTTAAAATTATTCAATATTTTACAGTAAATTATTTTATGTAAATATTTTTCTATTAATCTTAATAATTATGTAATCAGATTAATATATTTTTTTACAGTTAACATTTATTGTTTTGTCAATGTTGTAGTTTATATCTTAATTTAAAACTTATATTAAATTACGCGCGTAATTCATATTCTTATAGTTTGGAAAAACGTTTAATGAGTTTTATTTAGATATTTACAGTTTAATAAAGACTTTGAGCTCCGGGATGTCATATTGTTAAACAAATTATTGCATCTATTGTTGAGTTTAATTGGTTAAAGCGATCGACTTTTAAGTTAATACAATTTGTATTTACATTTCGACATATAATCATTATAGTGAATATATATACTACGAAATTATATATATATTATAATTTAGAAATAGTATAAAAAATAATTATTAATTTATAATACAGTAGTTTAATAAATATAAGTAAAGTTGCAATACTTTATATCTATACAGACTTTATTAATATAATTACTATAATACATGAAATACAAAATATATTGTAAATGATTCATATCGTTGACAATTATATCTTTTTATATGATTTATACTTATTACTGCTTATGTACTTAAAAATATGAAAATATTTCATAATTAAAACAAACATTAAAAATATTAATTACAAGAACTAAATAAACTTTGTTTTTTTAAAAACTAACTTTTCGTTAAACTGATAATAATGTGATGTAAATATTATAGTTATATTTACAGTACTGTACATTATGTATGTTATAGACAAAAAATAAGATATTTAAACATAAAATATATTCAAGGATTTTTATTTACATTAAATTTATTATATGATATTTTGCTTAACCTTTTTAAAGTAAACCGACTTTTCGTTGAGAATATGTTTTTTTGTTTTCATTGCAAAGTCACACAAATATCTCAAAAATACATAATTTTTATTTTCAATGAATCCATTCATTCATTTTTCAAACTTATTTTTTCATATAATATTTATTCATTTTTCTAGTGATTAATCTTAATATCTTTCAAATTAATATATTAACAAAACTTCTAAAATTGTGTGTTTATATATTCATTTTTTTCATGCATAATATATATAAAAATTATGAAACTAAAAACGTATTGTACACTAATTATATTTATATTATTTAATTGTCATTCAATTTTGACAATAAGACTTCGTGGTGTAACTCTTGAAGTAATAAAATAATTAAATTTGTWTTTAATATTTGTATAAATGTTTAATTATTTAATTACATATAAATTTAATAATATTTCTAATCATCATTTCGTTAACAAACTATTAGGTTATACCCTATGTTTATGTCCGTAACAATGAGTTTCATGGATATTGTGTCGATGTTATGAATGAGATCTCAAAGATTGCTGGTTTCAACTATAGCTTATATGTGGTTCCCGATGGACATCACGGGTCAGTATCGCCGGTCGGTGCCATCAATGGCATAATCGGCGAGATTTTTAATAAGGCAAGTGTGCAGTAATTGATATTAATTTATTGATATTATGTTTTTAAAGTTATTATATATTGTCTACATTAGGCGGCAGACTTTGGTTTGGCTGACCTGACAACCAGTGATAACCGTAAACGATATGTTGACTTCAGTCGACCCATAATGAACTTAAGTGTGTCGGCATTGATCCACACGACAAATGCTGAACGAGTGGACCGTTTTCGTGATTTGTCAAAACAAACCCGAATAATGTACGGCACGGTTAGGTCGGGCCGTTTGCGTGACAAGTTTGCTGACGCTCGGGACAGTTACTTCAAAAAGATGTACGACGTTATGAAAGTTCACAATACGTTTGTGGCCAACGCTAGCGCTGGTATCCGATTGGCCAAAATCGACACATTCGCCTACATATCGGAGTCGGCAAACAACGAGTTTATTGCGGCCAATGATTGCGATTTAGTTAGCATTAAAAGCTATAGCGACTACTTTAAGCTCAATTACGCCATAGCACTGCCYAAAGGATCGCCTTATTTATCAAAAATCAATTATGCGATACAAGTGCTCGAAACGGAAGGACTGTTCAACAAATTAAAAGCTAAATACTGGAGAACTCAATGCAATTTGTCTACCGGTAGTTACTATCTGTCGGTACAGACAAATGTCTTACTATTTATTATGATATTATTGTCTCTAATATATTCAAAACATTGAATTCAATTTAATTTATTGTTTTTTTTTTGATAAGTTTAACGTTTTGTTTTATTTTTCTAATATATGGATAATTGTACTTAAATTTGAGAACAATTTTTTGAAAATTACATATCATTTATAAAAAAAATTGAGACTAAAATAGTGTGAAATAATTATATTTACGGTGAAAAATCAGTTAAGATTGTTATGTTAAATATAAAATAATTTTAATTAAAAATAAAAAGCAATCAAATATACTAATTAAATAAAAATTAGTGTCTATTTTCAAAAATAATTATTGAAACAAATTATTTGTTTTAAATTTATGAATAATAAAAAGTTAATGACTTATAAGTATTATACTAATGATTAAAACAAATACTTTTAAGAAATAATGAAATTTTTTGGTTAAGTTTTTTGTCTTAATTCTTGAATCGTATGTTTCATTAGTTTAATAATCTCTTCTTTGTTATCAATTATCTGCTTTTCCTTTGATAACAATTCATTTCTTTGTAATTCAATTGTTGACTCGTTTTCAAAGATTTTCTTATCTTTTGATAATAATTGTTGATTTTGTATCAAAATCTTTGATTCCTTTTCTTTCAATTCGTCAAACAATTCATCTAAAGATGTCTTTAATAGTCGAATCTCTTTGTCAGCCGATTCTAATCTATCATTCAATTGTGTCAATTGTGAGGACAGTTGTATTTTATCAAATAATGTTTTATTTATCCTAATTCTGTCTTTATTATGRATAATGTTATGAACTAAACTTAAACTATAAGTRCAAATATTAGGRAYWATATAATCATATYTTTTCGTATGAATTAACAAATTTTCGCAAATTTTAATAATATAACTTTCGTAASCACTAAGAAAAATAGCATTTGWTAAGAAACTTAATAAACTATTCATTAAAGGCTTTATATTTAAGCCAAAAATCAAATCTGAAACAAAATTGAAAATTAAAAAAAATATGTACAATAAGTAAATATAAATACAGTTTTATACATTGAGAAGTTGATTGAGACAATTGAAGAGTCGTTGTATTTGATAGACTGACCGCACTTTGGTTTGCAGTGATCGWCACATTTGACAAATCTGTGCTTTTGGTTACTTCAATACTGACCGTCACATTAGACAACAAACCAATCAATGAAATAAAAATACAAATCATAAGATAGAAACACATTTTGACAATAATTAATAATATTTTAATRTTTTCACAAAATTATAATATTATTAATATTTCAGATATTATTATTATATGATTGATATAATTTAGAAAATATTCAAAATATTAATATGTTTCACAAAAATGTTTTAAATAAATTAAATTTAAAATCATTAAAAGTAATGATATATTGTATTTTAATTACTATTTATAAGTATTTTATTGAAAAATTAAAGTCAAGTTAACTGAACATAATGTTTAATTTAAACTAAATTTTACARAACTTAAAAATTCAAAAACATTGAACTAATAATCTAATAAACTTTTTGTATTGTATTATACCATTGTATTTGAATTGTGGTATATATTATAGTATTAAATCATAAATGTTTGTAATTAATATTAATAATTTAAAATTTGATTTAATATTAATATAATTATTAATAATTTCTCACATAATAATCATTATATCAAAAATATTTTAATTAAAAAAACACTGAATATCAATAATAATATTTTCATTATTTATTTTTGATCAATACTTACTCATCATTTTGAATGTTAGTTTTRATTAATTTATTAAACGTGTTGTTCACAGAATATTCATTAAAATTGTTGTAAWGTTTAGTTAAAGTTTGATTGGTTTGAATCAAATTTAAAGTATAATCTATTTCTTTATCTATAATATGTTTAAATTATTAAATTAAAATATCTTTTTTAATTATTATGATATATAATAACATACCAAAAGGTTTTGTATAAATATTTGTAAAAATAAAGGMATTGATGAAAATTATAATATTTAATTTAAWCATAATTTTAAGTAGTAAAAGATAATTAAAAAAAATATTCACTTTATTAAAATTAAATTTCAATAACGTTGTAATATAATTGTTAATTAATATTTTAAGTATTAATTTAATTATATARAGTAAAAGTTAATATCATAACAATCAAATTATAAATATAATTTAATTAATATTTTCATTTTCGTAATTATAATTATTATTTTTTTAAATGAATCACTTTTATACTTAGTATTAGCACTTATGTTCATTTAGTCACTGATATGTTAACTCTCTATTTAGTTATTGATGTTTTACATTAATTTTTCAATAAGATTATTGTAACTAATAGTAGTGCAAATAAACTAGCATAAATTTATTAGTATATTATATTTACAGGTATGTTATTATAAATAAATAAAACTATATAATTATAATTTATAAATATAACTAAAGTGCAATTTGTTTAGTATACAGTATAATCTCTCTYTCTCTCTCTCTCTCTCTCTCTCTCTCTCTCTCTCTCTCTCTCTCTCTCTCTCTCTCTCTCTCTSTCTGTCATTATATTTAAGGATAAATTAAATCCGATTTATTCTTTAAAAAAATACAGATCACATATCCGGTTGATTAGAAAAATTATAAATTACAATACATGTGATGAAATGAAAATTCCCGCATGAAAATCATAAAAATATGAAAAATTAACATTTTCATATGGTAAAATCTCGCATTTTTATCAGCCCTGGTAAATTAAATAAGGGTGTGGGAAAAATAAAAAATGGTGAATATAATGACCGATATTTAACAGTAATCTATTTAAAACRGTATATTTAAAACWATTACCGGTAATTAATTAGTTATAACTGCGTTTATAGTGAATMACWTATTTGTATATATTTACAGTATTTTTATTTTATAAAAATCTGTAAATAGATAACATATTYAAAAGGTTTGGAACGATTAAAAACGTCTAAATACAAGGGGTGGTAAAACTTGAAAATGTATAAAACAGGGGRKAAATTAAAATTTAAAGTCACAAATATTTTTTAATATGRCTAAAAATTTCATTATTAATCATGACTTACATATCWCATATGGGGAATTAATCGACAATTAACGGTAAACTTAMTATTTTTACATTAATTATATAAAAGAGTGGACAGATGTAGAGTTTTGAYTAATAAATTGTTAACTTTGTTTTGRGTTATTAATTGTTTCATAATTATTGATATATATTTTGCAAAAAAATCTGAAAATGATATATTTATATAATATATTATAATAAATCATTTTTCACTACTCAATAATACTGTATTACTGGTATATAAAGATCAATTTTTTTAAAAAATCTAACAATTGAAAGCAACCAATATACTTTTTAAAGTTACTTTTCATAAATATTTTAGTAATTTCAATTAAAATTTCAATAATTTATTTAGACAGTTTTAATATTAATATTAATAATTAAATATAATAATAATTAATTTTAGTTAAAAAACTATCTATCAWAAATGTTATTATAAATATTATAAMTTAATATTATTTGCTAAATTAAAATATTTTAATATACAAAAAAATAAGTTTAATAATAGCTTGTATTTTTATATAACTGTATTACTATAATATTTTACTTAAAAGTCCAATTTTAAAATATTTATTTTCTAGATATTATATAGAAATTATACATTTTCATAAATGCATTATTAACCTTTGATATTGAATTTTTGAATTTTATAGTTTATTTTTAGTATCTACAGTACAATTGAATATAAATACTGTCATAAGTTTATGAATTTTGCAATCAATGGTTTGCAGAGACTGATWACTACACTATATAAAACACGTGGAATCTCATCAACAATAGGACAYATAAATTAAAGTTTTAACAATAGGAACTCTCATAATTAATTTATATGAATTTGATGGGAAACTATAGTTTTTAAGAGAGAGAGAGAGAGAGAGAGAGAGAGAGAGAGCACATGGGACATAGGGAGGACTGATATACAATAGGGATATCTAAATTGCTTTCACATAGCATTYATATTTAATAGAGTATCATATATTGCTAATACATTTCCTACCATTTACACTGTCTACTTTATCTATACTATAATATATGAACAAATATGTAATAATATATAACTTTTATACACAAAATTAAATTCATTTAAAGTTAAAAAAAATGTTTTATAATAATAATATATAGAATCGATATATATATATATGAATATTAAAGATTAAAATGAGTTGATACGTCTGTTTATACATATTTACAAATTTACATAAAATTCTAAAAATGACTAAAATTTAAATTAATATTATTTAAAAATTGGAAACACTTTAATAAGTTATTATTAATAACAAATTTTTTAATTTCTTATAATAATATAAATTTASACTATAATAATGTATATGTTGCAAATTAATATAAATTTTTTAAAAAACTGATAATAAATTTCAAGGATATATTTTACTGATCTATTAAACTATGGGAATGTTGTATTCAATTTTGATCGCCATTTCTATCAATTATATAAATAATATTTACCACAAAATATCTCTATCTTTATGTTTAAAGTCTTGTATACAACTAATGTCAGTCATCATAACTCATGTCACAGTTAAGTCTAACCGTCCACTAAAATCCGGTATTTCTATTGTTGTCAATATGTTTTGCTAAAAGCTATTAATTTTTTTGCCTAAACTACTGTACAGTAATAGTACAGACATTATTTTGTGGTAAGTATTCAATTATTTGTACATTGGATTCAAAACGCTATTTATTTATATATTTTATTAATCATTTCGTATTCAATACAAAGAGAAGTTATTATTATTATTACAGTACTTACGAAAAAAAGTGATTTTTCAGTTTCTATTACTATTTCACTAAATATATCACATTTTTATATAAAATATTTTACTTATATCTTAATAATTTTTTTCAAAACACATATCAATAATAAATGGTAATTATGTGTTCATTCAAGTGTCAAAAATTAGTGTTATAAATAATGTTTAAATATTGTTGTTTAGTAAATCCTAACACATGTGATCTATGGGTGAGGACAGTTATATGAGGGATAGACAGCTAAACACGGAAAACGTGTGATACTGAGTGGAAAAAGCATATTTCAAGTGGTTATGTAATTATTAGGCACACGTATAAATGATTACCACTTCTCTATCTTACTGTCATCTATAATGAAATATATATCATATTATGGTTTGGGGAGAGAGAGAGACAACCCTACTTAGTATTACTACAAATGTATTTTCACTGACAAATACAGTGCCAATGACTAACAGTGAATACACCGAAAATAAATGTTATATAATAAGAGAGTGGAACCCATAGCCAGTGGGAACAGAGCAGGCGTTATATGGCATCAGATTTTTTCTCTCTTTCCTCTCTATTCTTGTCAATACCCAAACTATTATATACTTCGCTGAAAAGGACACATCATTTTATGTTATTTCGCTAACACACACACACATACATACACTCACTCACTCAATACAAGCAAAGGGAGAAACACAATCTCCCATTCCCTGCACTTCATTCAACTTATCAAAACAGCCTCCCTATGTAATAAATCGCACAATCTCTCTCTCTCTYTCTCTTTACCTCCCGTTCCCATTTGTTTCTATCCCCAGTACTCTTAGTTAGTCTCAGCCACTGTCACACAACCACTGCTGCAATACTCTACTACTGTTCATCAACTCTATTGTTGACTCTCCTCTCGCTCTCTAACTCACTCTTTATCTCTTTCTATCCATCTCTCTCTCTCTCTCTCTCTCTCTCTCTCTCTCTCTCTCTCTCTCTCTCTCTCTCTTCTTTCTGTTTCGGTTAACTATACCCTCTACTCATTGAAAAACATATACTCACCCAAAAAGCTAACGGAATATACAGTATAACAGTTGTGAGAATCAGTTGTATTTTGCATACAATACCTAATATCTCACATAAAATAGATCCCAAAATTTTTCTCATACAAGAAATCCATATTTTTATCTCATTTGTTATTTTTTTATTGTATCTACAATTAAGCTATTGGTAAACATTAATTATTTTAAATTGTTAATACATCGATCAACTCATTACTACATAAGCAAAAATGTATGCCAATAATTGTATTATCAGTACTGCTATAATATTGACCACAATTGTAATGTGTGTCCAAACGTTAGACAACGATGGAAAACCTTTAAGAGGTGTGACTATTGTGGTATGTATTTCATTGTTAATTAACTGATTCAATATAATTAATCTTTTATTATTTATTTGGTGTAATCTAACATAACTAATATATATATATATATACAGTATATACTACTACCTGTGTACAGTATGCTATATAATGCAGTATTGTTTACAATTTCAAGCTCTGTTAGCTTATATGCTTTACTAACATAATACTGTATATCAAATGTTAACATGATCAGTTAAATAAATCATATATTGTTACTAAACAAATATTATATAATAATACTATTTTTTCTATGATAATATATTACTATATTATACATAAACTTTATTTGAATTATATCATATTGTATTATTATTATTATTATTATTATTAATATGTAAAAATTCTAAATATAATAATAGATATTTTTTAAAATTATTATTATTTAAGATAAAATTAAAATAAATCTCAAATTTCATATAAATGTTTAAAGAATATTATAGATAAAAAAAATATAATTTTGAGTCTAATAATGTACATTCTATGATAATTAATAATTTTTAACAAAATATAATTAGAAAAATAAAAAATATTACGAAATTCAATAAATAATATATATTTCTATTAAACAAAAAATTTTATAAATAGCATAAAATAAATATTTATATTTATTTATTTATTATAATCGATAAATGTTAGGATAAAAACAAATCAACTAACATAACCATTAAATATAGTTATAAAATAAATATAATATTTTCAAATAAATATGTTATTACTATACATATAGCAAATAATCAAAATAGTCTATTATCTTGAATGACATATTAAGCTTTCATTGTTATTATATTTTTATTTACATTTTTAACATAATATCAAATATATTAATTAATTTTACTTTAATTTGTAAAAAGCTTTATATTAAAAAATATAAGTTATTTATTATAAATAAAAGTTAGTTGAAAATATTTAATAAATATTAAAAAGTATAATTGAAATATTATTACACATATTATTAAAATATTGATATTTCTTAAATACAACATAAATCAATTATTAATTATTTATAAAATTAGATTTTTTATAGAACTAAATGCTTTATAAAAATGTATAAATAAATATCAAAAACATTTGAATAAAATTAATTACATTTTTTTGTTAGTAAAGTTTTTTTAAATTCTATATATTCTATAGTTTAGTATATTTTATAATACAATATTATAAATGTATAAAATATCGATTGAAACAAGTATTCTTTGCGTTTCAAAAATAATGAAATTTTACTTTGTTTTTGTGAGATCTATGTAATGATTAAAATTTTATTTTTTTTGTAATTCAACAGTTACATTATTGAATTTTAACTATGTTATTAAACATTTAAAATAAAGTTATTAATAAAGTCGTTACATAGCTTAAAGTCACATGACATCATTTTCACATATGCTCAAAAATACCTATATCATTGATTAAATAATGCAATAATGGAGGCCAAAAATCTTAGTAAGGCTTCTTATGAAAAACTAAATGTAAGCATTAATTTGACGAATAAAAAATGATGGAAAGAAGTAGAGGTTAATGTAAAAGACAGAAAATAGTCTGAAAAACTACCTAATTTTAATACTAAAATTTTGAAGGATTTAGTGAAGTTATATCCAGACTTTTGATGATAAAAGATGAGAAAGATATTGGGTATTGATTTATGAACTATTATAAGACATTTGGACTCAATTCGCTGAAGATATGTGCCATTAATTTAAGTACTAAATAATTTCACTTCTTAACTATAGGCCACTTAAGTGAAAATAAACCAAAATTTTTTATACAATTGAATTATAATAAATTTATAGGATTTATTAAAACCATTGATGAATCATTATATTCACCATATATTGCTTTGTCAGATTACTATTTATTTGAATAAATAAAAGACTTCTTTGATAGTGAAAAAATTAAAAATCTGGAAGGATTCAAAAAATCTTTTTCGGTTCAAAATCAGATGAAATGGTTTACCAAAAATAATCAAAATTTGACCAGTGATTAAAGAGATGTTATAGAATTAAATGACAATTTTACAATTTATTAAATTTCATTAACTTTTTCAATAAAATGAATTTAAACACTTTTATTTTACACGCAAAGAATACTTGTTTCCATTAATATATGGAATAGTATAGATTCATAAAAATAAAATACAAAAGTTTTATCAACATTAAATATACAGTTTATTTTGTTGAAATGTTATTTATATGAAATGTTTTAAAAATAAATATTTTCAAAAAAAACTTTATCTAATTAAAACTAAATTATTTTACATTTTATCATTTTTATTAAATAAAAAAATAAAAGTATTTTAAGTAATCTTTCAAAACATAAAAAAGAAACAAAATATCWATAAAATRARAAAATTTTGGTGTTATTTACTTAWTTTTTTTTAAATCCTTGACTTAATATTGTGTAAAATAAAACTAAGTAAAATTTATTTAAATAAATCTCTATTATTGCTTATTCTTATAATCTTTATTTGATTAAAATATTTTATATACTTTTTACGTAATTAAAAATATATATATTTCTTYTCTAATATGTTTTGCATATTTGTATACAGTATAATAAAAATTATAATATTATTTGATTTGATAAGTAATATTGTAAAATTATATACTATACATACTTTAAGTAAATCTAATCAACAATAATGCTTCAAATCATATAAAAATTTAATGACTATTCTTATAACAAAATATATTTATTAAGTCATTTAAATGTATAAAATTCATAAATCAATTTTGAAGGCCTAACCTATTGATGAWTTACAAGTAGAGGCCCAGTATTTCCTTTATTTTGTGTATCAAAATTGTAAGAAACAATTTTTATAGTTAAACTTTTGAAACATATTAAATAATTAAAACAAAATTATATATTYATTTAAAGCAATATTGTATTTGATATGTAATATTTAATTAAAATATAATTAATTTTATTATTTTGTAAYTAATAACATAMCAAKAAATAATAATAATWAATATATMRATAAAACATTATGTAAATTATATTCAAATTATATATTAATTTGATTAGGGTCACTTTGTTGAATTGAATTAAATAGAATTAATAAAATATAATAMTAATAAAAAACTATTTTACAWTAAATAAGTAGACAAATATTGAATTATAATTCTTGTTACAAACTGTATATATATTTAAAAATTTGTAAATTATAAAATYWGTTTKTTAAGCAAAACTGATAAATAAATACAAAATAATATAATTGAAATAATTTGTARAAGTTTTAGTGAAAATATTAATTTTAGCTATAATAACTAATTTAATTACTGTTTTTATAATAATGATTTTATAATAATGATTTTATATAATTATACATTTGTTAATACAATTTTGGTTTAGGCGTCGTAATATTTTTAGCACTTTTTAACAAATCTAGAAATGTTCGCAATGTTCGCATGTAGTCATTTAAAAAAATAATAATGATTTTATATAATTATAAATTTGTTAATACAATTTTGGTTTATAGAGATTTGAACCAAATGTTTTACCCATAAATAGATGGGTAACTATTTGTTGGGTWCTAATGTAYTGAAAATTCATTAATTACTAAATATATTAAATATATMTCTGAATAATAGTTAATAAAATTATTGCTTATGTTATAATGTTTCTAAATTTAAATTTGTACTTTACATATACAGTTAGTAATACTCCTAACATTTTTAASATTACTCTAAACAAGTATTATTAACTAATAAAAATAAATAATGTTTATRCAGTCATATGAATGCCATTATTTTTAGCATTTTTTAAACTCAAATTTGTTACATCACTTCATCAATATTTTATCACTTTTGAAAACATATGGTTTGTTTGAGATTGCATTTTTGATTAGACAAATGTAATTATCTAAAAATCATTGGGTTTTACTATTTTTATTATTTTGACATTTTCTGTACAAATTATATCTACATTTATAGTTAATTATAATTTACATACACATACACATGCAAATACACATACACATACACATACACATACACATACACATACACATACACATACACATACACATACACATACACATACACATACACATACACATACACATACACATACACATACACATACACATACATACACATACACATACACATACACATACACATACACATACACATACACATACACATACACATACACATACACATACACATACACATACACATACACATACACATACACATACACATACACATACACATACACATACACATACACATACACATACACATACACATACACATACACATACACATACACATACACATACACATACACATACACATACACATACACATACACATACACATACACATACACATACACATACACATACACATACACATACACATACACATACACATACACATACACATACACATACACATACACATACACATACACATAATATATATATAAGTTACAAAATTTAATCTTTCATGCTGTGTACGGAAATATATTTCAATTTATACAAATAGTAATATTAATTAATAGACAAATTAGATTTAGCATGACTATTTTTTATACATCAATAAAGATTTATAGATATCTTTATGTATAGACATTCAAAAATAACAAATATAAAAATTTATATACAGWATAATCATTTACTTTATTTGAAATATTAATTATTTTGAATTCAAAATAKTTTTCAGAGTTTAAATTATTTAATAACTTAAAGAATCKGTTAGTTTAGTTGAAATAATTATTGTATAATCACTACACAAATAYATGTATCTCYATTATTTAAGTACAGGTTTATTATAATGACTATATATTTATTGATTATTGTATTATTTAGGGATTTATTGTATATCATCAGTCATAATAAATGTAATACATAAACATTAAATCACTTTTAATATAATAAATTAATGTATATCAGTATAAAACATTGACAAATATTGGACTATTTTAATACAAATATTATTTATGTCATATCATACAAGTTAATAATATATAGTACATTTAGATTATATTCAATGTTAAAGTTAAGGTATATAACATTGTTTGGGTAATATTTTAATAGTAGAAAAATATAGTATATAGGATCTACTAAAAGATCGGCAAAACTAATCCAAAACTAATTACAAAAAGCACGCAAATMACTGTTTTTATTGATAATTCAATGTACTACATAAAATACAGTATATTTGCTTACATATAATACAGTACATATATACAGTATATTTTTAAAAATTAAATTTAATAATAGATGCCGTCATTATTTATACTAATAATGTAATTATAAATAATTATYAAAATTAATTTTCCTTTTAAATGTAATTTATTTTATAGTAATAATAAATTAATTAGTAAATAGTATTMAATAAGTTGTATTACTGTAAGTWAATATATTTTATAGAAAATAAAATTATTATTTTTTTTATAATACAATAGAGTCCACCGTTTGTAATGAAAAGTCGGGACAACCAGTTTGAGGGCTTTACTATCGACTTATTGAAAGAAATTGCAAAGATTTTAAAGTTTGAATACACTCTCTATCCKTCACCCGACGATCGTTACGGCGCTACCGATAGTAAAGGCAAACCGTCCGGAATGATACAGGAGTTGTTTATGAGGGTTTGTACACATCWATTATATTAATAWTTTAATTAATAATTTAATTTCATATATTTTATTTTTAAAAAAATTTATATTTAAATATACAATTAAATTATAGAGAGCTGAGTTTGCAATCGCCGATCTAACCATTGGTGAGATCAGACAACGTTATATTGATTATAGCGAACCGTTTCTCGATTTGGATTTAAGTATTTTGATTAATAAGAAAAATATCGGTAATATTACATCGTTTGAGGATTTGGCTAATCAAACACGTATTAGATATGGCACTATAAGAGAGGGCGAGACATACCGKTCAATGAGTATGTCGAGCGACCCGACAATTATCCGCATCAATAACTATATATACAGTAATGCCTTCAATTTGGTTAACTCTAGAGAGGAAGGCGTCCAAAATACACTCAATACTGAATATGCATTCATTCAGGTATACAATGATAATTAAAATATTTTAAAATATWAATTATTTATTATAAATTAGATATATAAATAAAGTTTCCATAATTTATCAAATATTCTAATTATATAAATTTATGATTTTTATTTTTGTTTGTTTATTATAGGAATCGGTAGCTAATGAGTACGCGGCCGATCAAAATTGTGAGCTAACCATCATTCACGACAAGAAAAACTATTATTCTCGACAATACGCTATTGGACTGCAAAAAGGATCGCCATTTAAGCCAGAGTTTGATCGCGCCATCAAACAACTCAAAAGTGACGGAACGGTAGACAAACTAAAGAGACGGTATTGGAAGACAAAGTGTTTGTCGGGTGCCGTCACCGCCAAACTGGATATTATTACTACAATAAGTCTGATTGCGTCGGCACTCATATCATATATTTTATTTAATTGAAATATATTTATATTTATTTTTAATTTTCGTTTATTGAGTTTAATTCTCGATTATATTTTTATTGAAATGTTTTCTTAATTTTTCTATTTGTATTTTTGTTTAATATCATAGAAGCAAATTTACAAACTTATATAAATAATTTTATAAACTATAATTATGTTTACATAAACATTCAACTGATATTATAAAATATAAAATTTATGTCTAAACTTGTGAACTAATGAATATAATACTCTTTAATGTTTAATATCTTTTTTATTTTATTTCAAACATTTCTGTTTCAATTTTGAGTGATGTTTACAATTAATTTTTTCAGAATATTTAGTTATATTTTTAATTATTATAATTCTCACAAATATAGATAATATAAATATTTTTGTTTTAAATTTATGATATTTTTAAGTTTAATTGTTTTTAATAGTGTGTAACAAATTTATAAAACAACTTAATAACAACACTATATATAAATTAATAGATGACTGAAACTATATAAAAGTTGAGCATGCTAATTGAGTGAATCAATATAATATTGATAATGTTGGCAATTAAGTGACAGTTTAATGGTATATTGAAAAATTAATCTTAATTATAGCTGGTAAAATAGCCAATGCTATTAAATATTTTAATTATTTTTTTAATAACTTTACACAAATATTTATAACTTAAAATAATAAGTTATAATTGCTATTATTTACCATACATTGCCATACAAACCGTAAAATACCTTACAATTTATACAAAATATTTTTATTGTATTAAATTAATTATTTAATATAAATATATATAAATACCATTGTGTCACAAATGTATATTTATCATAATAATCTATTTAAAATAATATAAATATAATGAAGATGTACTGATGATAAAAAATTTAAAAWATATATATTTMTATATATTATATATTATACAATCAATAAAATTGCCAGATTTGCTATAAATTAAGACCAATTTTGTAGTTAATAACATTAAAAATAATATTAATAATWGAAATTTGAAAACATTATTGTAATATAAAAACATTTGAAAAATTTGTCAATAAAAATCTAGCATTATTATTCGCTCAACATAATTTGCAAATACAACATTCAATATATATAAACAATATTTTAGACAAATATCAATAAATATAAATTTATTAATGTATAACACATCGTAYTGTATATTCATTCAATTATTGTTAAACTGTTAGTTAAGACATAATATATTTTTACAAATAACAAAATACTATAAAAGATATGAGTTATGCTATGCCTAATAATATWTAATATCTAAATATAGAGAAATTTWTACAATAAAAAAATATTTATTAATTAATTCTCTATTTCCAAGACAAACAATATAAATATAAAATTAATAAATAATATAATGATAGAAATAAAAATATGAAGTTTATGATTGATGAACAAATTACATGCATAATTGTTATACAAATTGTATCTAATAATTGTGAGTATGATATACTGATAGTAATATATATATATATATATTAAATATAAAATTGTCAAATTTAATTAGATTGAATATGTACTGTATGTTTACTATGTGATTGTATCAGATATGATAAAATAAAAAACTATTCAAGTTTTTTATAATTTTTCTATTGATATTTATGGCAATATATAATTTATGTCTCTTAAATAATATGGATCTCCCGGTGCTCTATCAGCGTGTGGATAGTAATTGGAATCGACAATCGTTAAGAGAGCCCACTCATTGCACACACTATAACATTAAACCAAAAATAGATTTATTAATCAAAAACATGAGTATAATTAAGGTTCAAACAAACTATTATTTTCAAAAAGATCTAAATTTTTTATAAACTAATTCTTAGTGAATCTATTAAACATTTATTTGTATTTTGATTGTAAACTAATAAAACTTTGTAATCAACTCTTTCCGTATACCCGACACATTAGTAATCATATGATTGACTTCAATGTAAAATAAGTTGATATAACAGTATCATTCATAAGGACTAAACTAATGCATCAAATATAATAAAATATCATTGAATAACACATTTGCACTCAAACACTGTTCAAAATGTTTTGAACAATTTTTCAACCAATTGGATAAATATGTGTAATATTTAATTAATTACTTTATATTAATTGATTTATTTGATCAAAACAATTAATTAACTAAATATATARTATATTAATATAGCAGTTATTGTTATTAAGTATCAATAAAAACTACTAAATTATATTAAGTACAGTATATTTAAATATTACTTAATTTATACTAAARGTAAAAATAATAAATCAAGAAAAATGTGTTTTTGATGACAAATTTTGTAATAAATATGCTTAATAATAAAATTATATTTTATATAAATACCGAATAATTTTTTAAAAAGTATACAATAATTTTGTTTAATATATTGTTTAAAGAAATTTAAATTGTATTAAAACAATATTTTACTAAAAATGATTCAAATTCTTGTATTAAGTCTATTCATATGTTTGGGTAATTATTTTTTATTTGATAAAATTATATACAAAATAATTTTAACATTAATTTAATATTTTTTATTTGATTGTCAGTCACAGCCAATCTGTCGGAAGACAAAGAGTTCATACAATGCGCTAAACAAAGAGTTAAAGAACTGACGAATTTGTCTGAAGATCAACTGTTTGCACGAACTCAACAAAATCTTGTCGATGCCTCAGAAATGGTAGCAAAACGAGCCTCAGCTGCCAAAGCACAGGGATTAGTTTGTTACGACATTTTTAACAATGATTACGGAAAGGGAGTTATGGCTATTATGGGACCAACTGGTGAACTAAAGGTGTTAAACACTACTCAAAACCAAAAGGTAAAATCGTCGGCAATTAAAGAGATCGCAACAATGACTGAGTATATAATGTGTGACGAGGCTTATCGGGCAAAACATATCAACGATGAGATTGAATGCAATTTGCTTGAAAAAGGCGGGTTAGCTCTGACCGAGTTCAGTGCCAGCCTTCCCATCATTGAATCTGTTATGGGTGTCGGTGGTTGTCTATTGAAAGGTGCTTCACCACCCATGGCATCGGTTATTACACAGGTATTATACTGTTCAGTATATATCATGTATTTAAAATAGACTAATTATTTTTTAAAATGTATTTTTTTGTAGATGAAGAATCTTTACGGAGAGTTATATTCTGCTGGCAAACAGTGTTCCCAAAGTCAGGATCTGCCGGATGACCAACACTGCCGTAATCTTAAGATGTTTACCCTTGAATTGCGTCGATTGGGAAAATTGGGTTCATTGGTGGGCGCATCTAAAATACCAACTCTTTTCTAAATATAAAACACTTATCAATAATACTGTATAATTAAATGTAGTTTAATTGTGTCTTCAAATAAATATTTTTAGCATATTTTTATTATATATTTTTAAAAATAAGATGTATTTTATTAATATATGATGTTTTAAAATAAATCATAATAATTAAGTAGAAATCATTATTATTATTTTTAGAAAACATTTTTAGATATTTAATATATTTTTAATAATTAATAATCTATAAATTATATAATCCAATAAATGCAACATTTTTATATTTAACAAATAATTATTAAGTAACTTTTTATACAGTATATCTAAATATCAATAAGTTAATTAGAAAAATATTTATACAATTATAGTTATTGTTAAATATAATTTATAAAATTATGATTAAATTGATGTATTTATTAGTTAACCATCCCTCGTAATAGCTAACAATTATCAGATTTAATAGTTTAACATTACATTAAACTGCACAATATTATAGTATTATATATTAATGTCTGTAATACAATAAAATCTACTTTAAGTGATTAAAAAGTTATTTTTATTATTATAATTGTTGTCAGAATAGTGTTTCATAAATTTTATTAATTGCTTTATTCAAAATCAATTCAAAATAAATTTTAGATAAATTAAAAAATTATTAAGTTTAAATGAAATTAAAATCAATTACAAATATTAAAATAAATTAAGGCTTAATATGTGGTGTGGGATGTGTTTTCTGTAGGGGTATCTCGCCTTTCATCATACGGTTGCCGTCGCCGACAAGTCTCAGATAGAAATCGGATGACACGCGCACACCRTCGGCGTCGAGGGTCAAAAAGTACTGATCCCTCGGAATGTCGTTATTGGTTTCGGCCGCCTTGGCTATGGCTGATCCCTCATCGTACTCGTCAAACATGGCTATGTAGACATTTTTTATGCCCAACTCACGTATATTGACAAACTGTTGCCACATGAAGTCTCCGTGCAGACGGGGGTCCTCATTTCGTGGGGGGCGCATCCAATTTGACCAGGCAAATCCAGGGTATAGTACCGGTTGATAATCTAATTTTTCAAATATATCAATTTCATAATTATTATAATAAATCACAAAACAATAATACTATTTATACTCTATATGTAGAAAATTTCTATTTTTAAATTATCAAATACTCTAAATTATAATTATATACCAATATTATGTTGGCTAAGAAATTCGTGGTCGTCCTTCAAAATTGGTTGATATGACTGTGCGTCCAGTGGTGTCTGCATACTACCGACAGCCCAGGGCTGTAACATATTGAGTTGAAGAAAGACTTCCCTATATTTTTGGTCATTGCGCCAATCGCGCGGTACACCACCGATCACATAATATCCCTGTTGTTTGAACGTATTAATCACCCGAATCATACCAGCGATGTCTTGGGGACGGTCGCCAAAACCGAGTCCCCAAATACAGAGTACAGGTTTACCATTTTGATGGGCGTAGGCCTTGGAGTCGAACAAACCCAAAGGTTTCAGATTGTTTTGCAAGTCTTCGGGTATTTCATCGGCAAACTTATCCCAACCGCTAATATCCCACATAATGTAAAACTTGCGATTATGGTTCTCAGCGCTGGTCATCACTTTTTTGGCGATACCGTTCAATTGCTTTCTAATTAATGTCACAATTATTTTTTTATATAATATTACTAATTATTGTAAAATACATTAAATATAATTTTTTTGTTCAGTTTATTTTATAAATGTTTTACCCATAAACAGGATCTCGTTTGACGCCTCCCGCAAACCTTTGAAGAGCCGCGCAATCGATGTTATTCTCTTTCATCCATCGATAATGTGTGTCTACTGTCTGGTCGTCCCACGAACTAAACAGTTTTGCCGGTTGTCCGTTGCCCAGTGCCTGATACCCGGTTTGATATGTATGGGTATACTCACTAACATCAGGCCATATCTCGAATTTTTGATGACCCGGATAGGGAKGATCACTGTTATCCACCCAATGAAACCATCGGTTCATTGGTGAACCGTCATTTTTTGCGGAAAACCAGCCCTGATAGCCAACAACAAGCTTTCCAACCACATCGCCAACTGGACTGTCTGCCGAAATAGCCGTCACACATAATACACCGATTAATAAAARTTTCATTTTTATTACAGTATTTTCTAATCAATTATTTTTCATTTGGTATAATTTTATTTTCTTTAATATAATTTTCTATAAGATGTCTATTTATATATAGTGTGTATGCAAACTAATTAATCCAAGTGCTTATGAACTTTTTGAAAAACAATTAATTAATTTTTAATAAGTAARTCATAAATTAGTTATTTGTTGTAATTAGTTGTAAGTAATAGTTGCTAAGGGGTCGTACTTAAAGGATTTTAAYAACATATAAGATTATTTAATAKATTTTATTTARACTCTAACACATGTTTAAAGAACAGACGTCCTTTAAGTTCTTTACTAACATTTTATTTTTTAATTTAAAACTCTACTTTTTTATATCAGTTTTTAATAATTAATAATTAATTGATAATGATAATAAAAAAAAATTATTATTGTATTTTTTATAAATTAAACAAATAYATTTGATAGTATAATTTATCATTTCTACAACATGTGAATTTAAAGTTTTTGTTTAACTGCATATTTCCATAAAAAATTACAAATTTAACCAAAAAAATMATAACTTGAAATAATCATATWAGATATATATATATATATATTGTCAATAATATTATTTATTWTCCAYAATCAACCAAGTTAATATTAAATAGGTTATTAGTCTAGCTGCTATAAGTACAAATATATAAGTTAACTTGGCAATTTATCAAAAATTGTARTAAACAATAGAGTCTAGTATTTTATTTTGGCTCATCTACTCAATAATGTTGGCGAGACTACTAATAGTGAATTTTTAACAAAATTTATTGATATATTATATAATTTTAAATCATAAGACACACTGACATAAGATATCTATTTRTAAAAAATARTAGTTATAATTAAACCCATCTTTTTATTTAAAGTCATAAATTTTTCAGACTATTAAATATAAATAATTTTATATATGAGATTTGTAAAAATATTACAATTTTTAGTTGAATTATTTATATAAAAATTTTAAATTATAGACACTAATAATAATAAATTGTATATTGCAATTAACATAAAATTGTTATTATATATACATTAATTATTTAGTTACTTAATTGGGCGTCACATGCAATAGTGTGCAAAAATACATTTATATAATTGAAGTATTTAAATGAATTTAAATTTTCATTTGAAACAATTTTTTTGTTTAATATATTTGATAATAAATCACAAAACATGTTATTCACATAATAATACAAATTCTATAAATAACATACAAATGTTGTGACAGAATCTGTGCAAAGGATTTGATGAGAGAAAGAAAAATAATCTGTTAATAGCTTTTGGAAGAAACAGTCATTTAGTGTTCAAACACCAGTACTTTAACACCAAATAACACTTATAATTGCAATCAATAGTAACCACAAAATGCCAAGAGTTTTAGGCTTCAATAACCGGCCGTCTGTTCCTCATATGATAACAGCGGAAACGTTTGACCAGCAATCGGTTCAACGGTCACTCAACTCGCGGTATAAGAAAGTGTTCGGCAAAAAGGGTGCGACCATACAGTTGGCCGTCAACTTTGATCTGTTGTGTCCCGAACATCAAAACAACTTCAACTGTCAAATCATGCGACTGTCCATAAATGGTATACTAATGGATGGTATGACCATTGACTACAATGGTCTGACCTGTTATGATGCATATGTACCACATAAGAGAAAAATTCGTGTACACGCATGAAATACAGTATTATTCARTTAATAACCATAATATGCTGTCTCTAATGATTTTGTGTGCAATTTAATAAACTGTGTAAAAATTATTGTTTAAAAAAATTGAAACAATTTGTGATAAATATTGTAATAATGTTTTATTAAACTTTAAAATGCAAAACAATGTGTTTGCTTTACTATAGTTTACAAAAACAAACAATAATTTAATTATTTATAAAATTTTGTTTATTGTTATTAAAGTTTAWTCAAAGTTGTATAATATGTAAACTATTTAGTGCTGAGATAAACATAGTTTGCTTTAATTTTTTTGATGTGATTTCTATGTAAATTATGCTATAAATAGGACATYCACTAAATATACTGTTTATTTGTTGAACAACATATTAAGGGCAAGTATTAAAATAACATTAAAGTCATATCAAACACAAGATCATTGAATAATAATATTGCTTTTTTTATTTTTTCAATGATATAATTAGGTTCAATCAAATTAAACTATGTTTATGAAAAAATCAATCATGTATTATTTATTTGTATATTAAATTATCAATAATTTTTGTTAATTTATGTATTGATAACAATATATAATTTTATATTTTTTTAGTAATTGTGTTTATATTTATTAGGCTATCAATCAATACTATGATATAAATACTTATTTTTTAAAATTATGATACAGTATTAATRTTATAAATTATAATATTTTGTAAATAAATTATAACTTAATTACAAAATGCTTCAATTTAGAATACAAAAAAATTAAAAAATAATTTATATTTACAAATTATTATTATTATTATTATATTGCTAAATTTGTGCAACTTAAATGAAATAAATAAATAAATAGTTATAAAATAAAATAATTATTAATTAAATTATATAAAAATATTTTATTATTATTATTATCGATAATAAACTTATTAACTGTAGTTCAGTATAATATGAAAAAATGATAACTAATCCAAATAAATGATTGGATTAACACTACTAACAATGACTACCGATTCATTGAAGATTCCGACGGCGCCGACGAGCGATGCCATCGTTGGGTTTCCAAACATAACAGTCCTTCTGTAGTACACACCTGTGATTATGACTGTCTCTAACGTATCCTTCGTTACAGAAGCAGCCGCGCAGACAAATGGTTGGACAGAATTGGCGTTTAGTTTCATCGAAACATTTTCGTGAACATTCATTACCGCATTGACTGAATGTCTCATTACCGCCGCAAACCTCAACTAATTATTAGACAATTATATAAATAATAGGTAAACAAATTGAATAATAATAATATGAGTTTTACCATAATTGGCAAACTTTTCGCACTGTCCAGTACTCGGATTTCGGGTAAAACCAGTATTACAAACACATGCGGGAACTGCCGGTTCATCCAGACATTTAGGACGTGGATTGGTTGCTGATCTGACACAGGGAGCACCCTGTTCATCCCAGTATTCATTGGATCCACATTTTTGCGCTTAATTTTTATGAAAACAAACTGTAGTCATGAGTTTWGCAAAATTAAAAATATTTGACAATATTTACGGCATTTATCAATGGGTACACACGTGCCATTGAGGGACATATCTCTTACAAAACCATAGTTACAAAAGCAGCCTCTTTTGCAGTGATAATTATTGTTACAATGCGGYGGTGTATTGCGATAGTTGGAACAGGTAGGCTCACAGTTAGTACCGCAATCACGRAAGTGCTCGTTTGATGCACACTCTATAATATATATTTATATATTAAATGGTCAGTTATCATGGCAAATATTTTTTTAATAAATATGATATGACAAACTTGGACATTTATCTTTGGGAATACACGACCACTTTTGATGTTCCTTCACGTAGCCGGGCCTACACTCACAGCCCCGATAACAGTAGTGGTGGTCACGACAGGGGAGTCGGTCGGGTTCCTCACAACTTGCCGGACATGTATTGCTACAGTTGTGCTCGATTTCGGTGAAGGTATTACAGTTTAGATCAGCAAACATTGGGCGCTCTGTACGAAATGGACGATTAGTATGAGGTATGGGTGGTCGTGGAAATCTAGTAGGTCTCAGATGTTTAGGAATRGGAGGTCTAGTGCGAGGTGGAGGCCTAATTTTCATAATATTCAATTGACTATCACTATTATATGTTAATCCTATATTAATTATTATGATAAATACCAAAGCTAAATGTAATTTCATTATCATTATATTATATTATACCCTATAGTATATTAAATAAATTTTAAATTGTAAAATATTAAATATTAATAAAAATGTGTTTGATAATTTTATTAAAATCATTTTCTCAATTAATTAAATGCTAAATGTTAAAATATATTTAATATTAAATAAAATAAAATATRTTTATATATAATTTATTGGTAAATAAATAAATTTTTGTAATTAAAAGTAATAATAATAGTTTGGTGTCAGATGTCATACCATCGATGATGACCTTGTGTTCAGTTGACGTATCGTTTGAATCACTTCCTACTATATCATCACTACTGTCCTCTATCTCCAGTTCATTATTACATTGAATAAATAGCACATTATTAGTCAATAAAATAATTGACAGTAAAAACAATAATAAATTAATTAAATTAAAATTTATTTGTTGTTGTTTTGACATAATTTCAGTTCACTTAATCGGATGACAATACTATTGTATTAAATTTAATACAGTATTTTGTATTATTGTTAATATTATATTAAGTACTGATATATATATATTAACTTTATACAATTTTTAAATATAATTTTTAACACTTATATTTGAAGCAAAAAACTTGTTTGATGCCAAAAAAAAATAGTTGCAAACTAACATAACACTAAATATATATGATTATGAAAACGATATTAATATTAACAGTAATTATTACTTTGATGTAAAAAGTTTTGCATATTTTAAACAGTTATTTAAAATTATATTTTATAATTTACTATTAAATAAAATGAATTATCAATGTACCATGAACAATTATTAAATAAACGATAAATATTTCGTAGTAATTTTATAATTTAATTGACATTGATATAAATTTAATGATAATATTGATTATATTTTTTTTTATAAACTTTGCAAACTATTTATAAGACACAAAATATTTTTGATAAATACTTTAGTTTCTTAATTTACAGTAAAGTATTACTTGAAATCCATGTTTAACGAGGAAATCATAAATAATTTTTTCACTGATTTTACTGATAATTATTAAGTTTGGATTTCAACAAAAAAAAGTACATTAACTAAAACTACTAATAATAYAATAATAATAAAAAAATAACTGTTTTCACTCATTTGAAAAGTTGCTATTTATTGAAATTATAMAAAAAATACTGTATTTTTTACGTAAAACTAGTTGTCGTCTCCCGTTGTGTGTAATAAAAGTCAGTTGTCAGACAAGTCARTGTTTTTTTTTGCAAAAAAAWTCATTGAATGTCTTATTAAATGTTTGAAGAGATTTGCATCACAACTAAAACATAACAGTTATATAGTATAGACATTGAATTTTTCAATTGAGATATTATTACTGTAGTTTCAAATGATATAACTCGTTAAACCAGTCCTAATAATAACTGTTTAAAACTTTCACAATTAATAATTTTTATTTATGAAAAAAGTAAACACTAGTTTATATACATATTATACATAATTTTRTAAATGTGTAGACTATGATTACATAATAATGCAACGAAAACTAATTTTAATAATTTTTGTTTGTTTGTCATTTCAAGGTTGAGTATAATTACATAATACAGTACTAAACAATAATACTGTATAGACTTAATTCATTTTTATCCATAAAATATATATAAATTGTTAATCAATAAACTRAATCTTATTTATGATTTTTTAAAAATAAAAAAATTTAAATGGATTTTATTTTACACTTGAGAATAAATATAATAAAATATTATAATTATCACATTAAATATGATTTAGAAATTTTTATAAAAATATTTATCTGATTTCTTTGAGTATAAAATATCTTTCCCTAAACTGTCGTTTTGGTAATTGTTTTTCATCTTTTTCGTTGTCTTCTTCGGTCTTAATTTCGTTTGTTTGCATTTTTCCTCCACCATTAGCACCGGYACTTCCGCCACCGCCACCGCCTTTATCGGTGTTGTTATCTTTATTATAGTTAACTGTATCTCTATTAGCCAACCAATCGTTTTTAATATCAAACAAACTTTCGTCRTCTGAAGACAAATATGTCTTATCGGATGTGTTGTCATCACTTGATTGTGAGCCATGTATTGCCACCAAACCTTTAGCTTTGGCGCAAATATGTCTTTCTTTATCGATTGTCAAAAATTCATCACAATCTGGACAGAAATCATAGTTTGGTAATCGAGGTGACTGTTCAGGTGCTTCGGGCATATCCATGGTATTGKGTGGGGGYAATGATTCTGTAAATAWATATTATACAAGTATTTATAGTCTGTTTWTAAAATTAAAATTTATTTGTTGTTTACCAATATTTTCAAATTTCCATTTGTTAGCATTTATGGACATTTCCTCATTGGGAAAGGTATTGTCAGGTAATGTTTGTTCTGACCGTTTGTTTAAGAGAGTCCGTCTTTCATCTCGACGTTGTTTATCCTTTTCATAAACATTTCTCAAATCTCTATATAAACCAATAAAGGGAACGACAAGCCATCCCCGACCCGATCGTTTGGGACCTCCTTTGACATTAATAGCCCACTCTGTCGATGTCTTCCAGTATTGAAAGCCGATGAGTGTAACGATATGAACAATGAATAGCGACAGCCATAGACTGGTAATTATGTCGAATTGAAATGATATGAATTCCTCAATACGATGGGCACAACCCMTAGAGTTGATTGAATGAACTCTAAGACCTTTGATATCATCGTTTAGACAAAAATCCAAATATTTGAATTTACAACAACTGAATGGCACAGTATTAATGGTTTTGGTTGTCATAATCTTTGCCCAATCCTTATAATCATGAGCTCCACAGCATTGATATGATAGCTGTAGTTCATCAAAGATATCTTTGTCGATCAAATCGGTAAAATAAGCGTCCATTTTAACCAACAATCCTTTGGCAAACTCGTAAAACATTGTATTACTAAAATACATGGTATAGATAAGCATTGCCGGTATTATAACCAACGATGAGAGCAGGTATGTATAGAGAAGACTATGAAAGTATGATTTTTTAACTAATTTCTTTAYCCTTTCATCGGATCTGTGAGAACAGGCATTCAATAATAATTTATCAAACATTGATTTAAACTGTATTTTCTAAGACATACCGAGAGATGTTTAGTACAATACAAAGACACGTTTGTATAAAACTGATAATCAGTACAACTAATATATTGATTATAGTGAATGTGCCAAATGATAGATTAGAAAATAAATGTGATTTTGTATTGAAATAAAAGAATACATATATATTGATAGATAAAAGTGTGGTCACAGATATACCCGACACTAGATTTCCKATCAATAAAATAAAGAGTAATATTTTACGGTAAAAGGCATTCAATTTGCAAATCAATATTTGACCCATTATTCAATTAAAATAATGATAATRTTTACTGAAGTTYTCAAAAGTGCATTAAATACTATATATTTTTAGTTAATATTTAGATAAAAAATGAATTATTTAAATTTTTAATTAAGTTTATGAAAAAATTGTTGAATTACGAGAAAAACAATTATTTATTTTTGTTGAAAAAGTTGTGTTTAATTACAACAATTAAAAACATTTAAGCTATAAATGGCAATAAATTCCTGTGTAGTTATGAATTCAAATATCATATATCAGTCATTAAAATTATTTACTTAATTAAATTCATGCTTTTAACAATATTTTTTTAATTAGTATTGAATTTGAATTTAAAATAAAATTAATTACATAATATTTCTTAATATTTTAGTTATCAAACAATAGATAAGTCTTTGAATTGCAAAAACATCATCCAATTGTCATAATATAAGACATGGCTGTCATTCAGGAGGTGAAAGAGTTGCCGAAAAACGAGACCGTATTGAGGAAATGGGTTTATTATGATCTGATAGTATGTATGGCCACTGCCATAGCTGTAATCATATGGTATAGCATACGATATAACAAAGCTCACGATGACGACAGCTATTCCACTCCGATGTCTATCCTTCATATTATCGGATATGTGGCCTACGCTGTGGTTACCGGTATCGCTATGTACGGCACTCACTCTCAAAACAAGAAGTTCTTGTGGTGGTTTGTCATCGGCTGTCTGGCCGTTATAGTCGGCGAAATCGTCTGCTTCTTCATCAATATTGTCATCAGTAGTGAGTGAAAGTGCACTAAAAAAGACAATTACCCAACAATTTTGGATATAATATTACATATAATTTATAACTTTATATAATTACTGTTTTATAGGAGAATCACATAAATATGGTATTATAGTGTACGTCCTGAAGGTATTGGTTCTGCTGGTTGTCATTGTGTCGGCTATTTTGGTCTATTTGTTGATACGATTTATCCAAAAGTCGGTTCCGTCTGACATCGAAAAAGCCGATAACATTAAACCATCGGCAGCCGCTACTGCGGCCAATCAACCACCGATATCTGCTAAGGCTGACAAACCACCCGCTGCTCCCACCGCCGCCACCAACAAACAAAAAGCTGGAAAGGCATAGACGTTATCGGCATAACTTTCTAATGTCTTACTAATGCTATTATTATTTCTATTATTTATTTTCYAATGACTATATATTATATTAATTTATCTAATTTATTGCTAAATTGTATTTATTTGYTATTGTGTTTTCATTTCTATTTAGAGATGGACAAATAGAAAGTTTCTAATAAATTTCCCTGAGAAAGTTTCTAGAAACTTTCTCAGGAATAAATTTCTATAGAAATTTAACTTTATTATTATACTATGGGATCCCCATATCTATAGATATTATACAAAATGGGATATATATATATATATATATATATATATATATATAAATATAATTATTTAATAATAATCAGTTTTGTAAAATTTTATTCATCATTCTAATATACAGTATATAGTTTAATATAATTAAATAATTAAATTTTTTACTTTAATTAATAATTAAAATACTAATACTTATATTTATATTTAATTATTACTTGTAAAAACAATGTAAAAACAAGTTAACAAATATCGAGAAAACAAAATTAACCATGGTGATCCCATAGATAGAAATTTCTTTTAGAAACTTTCTAGAAATTTCCCTATTATTTTATAAATTTCTCTTTTTTGCCAACACTATTTCTATTACAATAATCTGTAAAATTATGTGTTTTTCATTTTAGATGTTTGACTTATTAAACATTAAGTATATATTTTAATATCATATTACTTAACAATTAATAATTAACTTATTATCTTTTAAATAATTGTTGTCACTATATGTTAAAATCTATTTAATTAATAGTTTGTCTTATCAACTCATGAGTGTTACATTTAATTTTAATTATTAATTAAATTTTATACTACAAATTATTTATTTATTTAAGATTAATACTATTTATAAAGTTTTAAAATTTTATATAATTAGTTAATATTAATTAGCTATAGTTTTAACAATCCAATCAATATGTTTAGCAATCGGCACCCAAATGGCTCCCTTAACATCAGCCACACAAAGCTTGTCTCCTCCATATGAACCCAAATATATACCAATTAATACACCACGGGTTTGGTAATAGTTATCAGTAAACTGTACTAAACCAGCCCCGACATCACCCTATATTTGAATATTAAATATTACATTAAAATTAAACCATTAAAACATTATATATTTATATATATTTATAGCTAACTTCACAGCCGAAGGGTTGTAGAACTGATGGTTTTATACACAATAAGTTTTTGGACATATTATATATGGATTAATAATAAATTCATTGGTCTGTAGTGACTGAGCCAATTGAGTTGTATATGTTTTGTCACCGGTTTCCTTATTAACATGTTTTGTAGTGAAAATCTCACCCCAACCGGCCATTGTTGTCAGCTCTAGTTCCTCATTAAACACCGTATGATTGGATGGTAAACATATGGTATTTATCATAATTGGATAATTAAATCCTTTATAAGTATTGATCTCAATCTTGTCCGGCAATCTATAAAGTGCTATATCGTTGCCATCAAAATCAATAAATGGATTATACTTTGGGTGTCGCCATATGTGATGCAATTGCACCCGTAATCTCATGCCTTTCTCGCGGCTCTGACTGTCGCCTATAAACACATGTACTCTCGGAAATCGATTACTACCGTATTGACCAAAACTGTTTGAATTAATTGTCTAAATTATTATCGAAATCAATATTAAAATTAATGTTTTTGTATATATTTACGCAAAGTTACACCGGGCGGCTGTCATAACCCATTTTCTACTAATTAAAACACCGGTACAATAGGAGGCTTTTAACGTCAATTGACCATCATATTTAATGAGTACAGTCCAGGGAGACTCTCCCCGATCAACACTATTACCTTTGAATATTCTCGGATCAGTTAGATTCCAGTTTATATTTCCAAAGGCATCAACATATGGATAGGGCGATACCTTATTTTTGTAGCACTTTTGTTTGGGTATTATATCAATGCGATACATACCGTACTGATATCCGCAAAATATATTACTCACACCCGGATAGTAACCTATTTCCACAAATATACCAACGATTGTTGTTGTTGTCAATAATCTAATCAATACTAATCGATACAATAAATTCATTTTGAAAGTTCAATCTAAATGGTTAAAAAACTTTAATATTTCAAGTAAATCAATGCTAGTGTATAACCCCTTTGTCTGTACTTAATACACATACAATGTAGTATTAAATGAATATAACAGCCGTATAAATAATAATAATAATTTAGTTTCAAATAATATGAGTAAAATAATATAATTTAATACTACGGTATATGATTAAAATATTACCGTAAATCTCGAGATTATAAGCATTTTTAAATTAACTGACACTAACTTATTAGTAAATTAGTTACAGTTATAAAATTAACAAAAATATAACTTAATTAATAATTTATTATTATATATTTTACATATATTGAATATACAGTATTACATTGTATTACAATATTGTGTATTATACATTACCGGTACTATTTATACAGTAGATTACAAACTACATGATGTTATTATAATAGTTTCTGATAACTCAAATAACATTATTGATTATGTCATTAATTTATTTATATTTAATTAATTTATTTGGCAAGTTAAACAAAGTTAAATAAAATTAAATAATAAATGAGTTTAATTTGAAATTTAATTTTAAAAATAATTTATAGTTTTAATTGAATGTCGTTTTCACGCCAAAGTTGGCGACTATTGGTCAATACATTCGGACAAATGTGGTCTCAATGAATCGTCAAACAACGTGACCGTCGTATCAAATCGTATAATCGATGGACAGTCAACACGTTTGGGTGAATTTCCATGGATAGTGTCCGTACAGATTCGCAGACAAAGTGGCGATGAATTTATAGACTCCTATTGTGCCGGTGCTCTTATAAACACTAAATGGGTGCTCACAGTAGCTACTTGTCTACAAAATATAGAGTATAACATAACCAGTGCTACTATTGTATATTAATATAACATTCAAAGTACATTCAAATAATTTGTTTTATGTTTATAGTTTAACTATTGATGTCATACAAATGTTTATTGGATCAAATCATCGACAATTAGGCGACACGTATTACGCGCAAAACATCACAATCTATAATAATAAAAACAATACCAGAATGTTGGACAATGATATAGCAATTATCAAACTGTCCCATAAGTTTGCACCGTTAGTATTCAACGACAAAAATCGATACTATTTTAAAGTTAACACAATATGTTTGCCTAAAGCAAATATAACAAATGTTAACCGGGAACCGGCTATTTTTAGTGGTTGGGGTGCAATCGTTAAAGAGGGCACAAACATGACGGATAACTTAAAGAAAGCCGAGTATCTCATTGATAATAATTACAAACAGTGTAATAATAATAATATTTGTGTTAATGAAAATTGGTATATACCTTGTTTTGTAAGTACTATATATTTTGAGTGTTTAACAAATAAAATTTAGACATTTTTTCTCTAAATTAATTTTAAATCTATTGTAAAACTCTTATTAAACACAGGGAGACAGTGGTTCGCCGTTAATACAATATGACGGCGAAAGGGCAGTACTGATAGGGCTGTTCTCTCATTCGGTGCCGACAAACACCGGTAACTCTACAATTGATAATCAATGTCATCCCGGGTGGCAATACTTTACACGTGTATCATATTATGTCGATTGGATTATTGATACAATCAATACTATTGAATATCACGATAATGAGGAACTGTCTAATAAAAAGTTGACTCAACAGAGACCAAATGTTTTATTAGTTATTGTCATTTTCCTAATAATTGTCTCATTATCGCTGATAGCTGTGATACTTGCCATCAAATGTAAGTTACAAAACTATTTTAAAACTTGACATTATTTTTATGAAAACATTTTTGTTTTTTTCAAATAGTTAAAAGTGATTCAGAACGTGAATAATGTGAATAATTTTTTTTATTAATTTTACAGATAAATTATGTGATACCAATAGTTTTATAAAATATTTTTAGATTAATATAAGATTTAATGTTAATTACTTAAATAGTAAGAGATGATTTTAATATAAAAATTTTTGTTGTTTAAAAATAATATTTTGTTAATTTTTTAATCTATTAAAAATTTGATACATTTTTCTAAATAAACAATTTTTTATGATTTAAAAAAATATCTTTTAGGTTAATAAATGATTTACAAAAATACAAAATATTTTTTTGTCATTGAATTTATTATAAACATTAAAAGTTTTTGTATATATTTATAAAAAAATAGATAAAAACAAATATAATATTACCAGGGTTATCTATCTATATATTGGCGTAAAATAATTTTATAAATAATTTTTAAGTATAAATTATTCCAATTGTCAAGTTCAAAATTTTAGTACAAATATTTATATAATAATTAATTTCTAATTAAATACATTGTTTGTTTAAAAACCTATAATTAATAAATATTTATTTAATTTGAAAAATTGTACAAGTAATTATTTTATTTATACATATATTTTTATATTTGTAATGAAAAAATTTAATTTAATTTAATACAAGTACTTCATTACATTTGAAATCTCAAAATTTTTAGTATACCATAATCTTAAAATAAATGTTATCATAAATAAATATTTTGAAATGTTTTAAAAATATTGTTTCGTGACTAATATGGCCTCATATTGATTATTATAATATTAAATATAAATAAAACATTAACTTTTATTACATTAAATGTTATATTATTAAAACAAATCAATTAATAACTAAATTAAATTATAAATATTTATCAATATGTTTATAAGTAATAAAGTTTGCATAAATATAATTTACCAATATCATTTATCAATTGAAAAATAACAACAAAAAATAAATTATATTGATTTCTTATTTTAGAATTAATATAATATTTTTAAATCATTACCGGTTAAAATGTTATTCATATTGTATATGAGATTAATTTATGAATATATTAATGAAATAAAACATTTAAAATCAATTAATAATTAAATACTTATATAAACTAAAATAAAAAGACATAAAATATTATAAATGATTTCACGTTTTTCAAGTAAACTATTAAAAAAGTAAATAATAAACATTTAATACCGAGAAAAACCATTTTTTTCTTATCAGTCAAATTAAATCAATCGATAAAAATAATCGATGTCTGGATTTTTAATTAAATTTTCTGAATTTCAAACGTATTATAACTGCTTTTCAGAAATCCGTTCCTCTTTTGCAACGGCGCTGACTGAGTACTGTTGACTTTGTCGGCTATCAGATCCTCATCATTGCCAATATGGTTGTCCTGTATATCTCTGGACTCAAGTTTTCGGTAACCGTTTCGAAATTTTTTCGGTGATTTTGTTAATTCCGGTGCAGTTGTTATGATAGGTGACGGAGGTTTTGGAGAGGGGTTTTGGGCAGTGATTTCATTGGACACTGGAATGTAGTAGTCGTCGGTCTTGTTTCTCAAACTCAGATAACAGTTGATGCATAATATGGCGAAACCGATAAATAGTAACAAAAATATGAGACAATATTTAGAGAAGAGTAGACTTTCGTCCAAATGATAGGAATATAAATTGTTTGGACAATAGTTTTTCGACTCTGTTTTGATGGATGAGTCGCCAACATAACTGTCCACTTCTGGACTTTTATTATTATTATTATTACTTTCGGTGTCACGAAACCCAAGTTTGGCGCACATGCGGTCAATAATGCGGACAAACATTAGTCGAGCGTAGACTTGACTGTTATAAGTGGCGATACTATAGTTACGGTCAGTTTCGGTCAACTCAATCAACTCAGTTATATTGAACTCAACTCTGGCCTCTTTGTAGATATTGCTGTACACTTCGTAGTGACCAAACCTACGATGTACTGAACAGTTGTCCGGCGGTGTCGGCGCCACAAACTCTATGGTATATTTAGTACTCTTGCCGTTGACACAGTTGACATCAAACTGAAGTACATCGTGTTGGACATAATGTGTGACCATTGCCTGCTCAATGCCAACGTTAATGTGCCGAATCATAGTGGACGTACCATTTGGACACTCCCGATGGGCTGTCCATTTCCATGTCTTATCACTGTTTGAGCCGGTAATATCAAAATAGTCGGTATTACGTATACTCCTAATTAAGTGACCGCTATTGCCATTAATGGCCAGACAACAAACACCGCGATTGACACTAATTAAGTACATTAACAGACAAAACAGTTTTATATGAAACAAATTATTTAGTTTTGACATTTTGTTTGACACACTTTTAAAAGTCGGGGAAATTATTAATGATTTTATTAGTTCATTGAGTTGTTATTTAAAAAAAAGTTATGAAAAATATTTTACTGTTTTATGATGTGTTTCACACAATTTAGTTATAACTTATTACTGTACCTCTATTTTATCAATTAATTGTATAAGCAATTGTCATTTATACGTTTAATAAAAATATTTTTTAAAAATATTTATAAACAATAAAATATGCAGTTTTTGCATATTACAAATTGGTTAACAATGTTGCCAACAATTTAAATTAAATTATTAAATAAATGCAAGTTATTTTGTTTTTGCAAAACAAATACAAAAAAAAAATTAATATTTTTTATTATTAAGATACTTATGAATCATAATTTACTGTTTATAACTGTAAGCATTACTTTATTTCTCCTAAATATATTCAATATTGTTATTATATATTGTTTCTTATATTTTGAATTATTTAAACAAATAATATATATAATCAACATATGCTTGGAGACACTTCACCAGTTTTTATCAAATTTTTATAACACATTTTATATAAACAATGATTGACTTCACAAAAAATAAAGCTAACTGTTATGCATTGATTATAATACTGAATATACTGTATATGTATCATACATTTAATAATATCAATAAATACGATAAAAATAATTTTGTCTCTAAATTTTTATTTGATGTTTATATAGTTTGCCCAAAAACTTTTCCGTCGTTTTGATAAATAATATATAATTTATATTTGCAGTTAATTTCAGTATATTATATACAAACAGTCATCACATGATGTCATCAATAAATTTGTTGTTTAGACTAATTATTTTATAATGTTTTTTTTAATTAATAATTTATTATATTTTGTTATTGTTATTGTATGTTTGCTACTAATATTTAATATGCATGAAACTTGAATTGAAGTCCAATTGAGCCTATGTTATAATAAAAACTGTGACAATTAATAAAATATAACATATAAATAGACTGACCACCCAATTTATTAGTAAACCTGTATAATAGTATGAAATTATTATTTTCACCTGTATTTTCCTGTATATTAAATATTATATTCCTGTATGTTAACCTGTACTTAAATAACTATATATTCGTATATATTTATAATATAAATTAAGAAAAATTTAATTTAGATACTATAATTATATAAAAAGTTGAAATTATTTTATATTGAACATAAACAATTTTACAAATATTTATAAATTTTTTATATTTAAAAAAAATATTTGAAATATTTAAACTGTATATTAAAAATACAAGCAATTTTTTACTAACAAAACTTAATTCATAGTTATTTTATACTTTTATTAATCAATTAGTTTTACATATTTTAAAACTGTATATTTTATTATACAGGTTAGCCCTTTCCTGTCACCTGTATTAGACCCTTGATTCCTGTATAATACAGGCGGCACCTGTATGGGTGGTCAGTCTACATATAAATAATAATTAACACACTTATTTAATTATTTTTATACTTGTAAATTACTATATTATTATATTAATATTATACTGTATATATATATATATGATATTTGATAATACAAATTTTTGCGGCAATCCTTGTAAAATCAAATATTTTTATATAAAAATAATTAATTTTTTAATAAATAAATTAAACAAATACCAAATACATGTAATTTACGGATATTATATCAAGTATTTAAAAATTTGAAATATTTTTTGTAACATTAAAAAATTATCTAAACATTATAATATTTAAATTTAAATTGCACTATAGTTGCGTATTTTTACACCAATTGAATATAGAAGTCTAGCAATTGATAAAATTTTTAATTAAATATCTATAAAATTAAAAAATTAACATTTGATCAACAATTTAATTAGCTATAATTTATATTTGCTAATATAGTTTTTATATTTTGCCAGTTTTTATACGGTGTTTAGATTAACTATGTTTATAAATTGTGAAATGTTCAAGATAATAATAATTAGTAAATTAGTATATATCTAGAATAATCATATTTCTAATATAATGACAACAATTTGACGTCAATTGGTCGTAACCTTACTATAAATAAACTTGATTATTATTATTATTATATAAATAATCAATTAAATAATATAAAAAATTTATTTTTAAATAATAACAAAATAATATTTTCAGTATAATTAAAAAGTTACTAATGTTATTAAACTGCAAATATAAACTTTTATATTGATTTATAAAGCYTTTTAWTATTATTTTTAATAAACAGTGCATATTATACTCTAATATATTGTAATATTCACATGTCATACACATGATATAAATTTACATATATAAATGCCTGTAAATTATTATAGCTTTAAGTACTAATGTTATTTTTATTTAATAATGGTTAAAATATACATATTTAATAAAATTATAATTTTACTATAGGTATTTACTATAATATTACTTATAATACTCAACTTATAATATAATGTTCAAAAATGCAATATATATAACAATAATTTATAAAACATTTCACTTGACAAGCAATAATTTCCATTAATGACTAATTAAATAATAGTATTAATAAGCATAATATATTAATTACAATATATTATATTCAATAAAGATACTATTAATAATAATAATAATACAAATTTTAATAATTTATTCTAATTAGCAATTTTAAAAATCATTATAGTATTCAAAACTATATATTTTAGAAATCTAACAATTATATAATCATAATGATAGCATGTGATAATAATAAATTAAAATTTGTTAATAATTATAATTAACATTCAATAAATACCAAAATATAACTATTTATTATTATTACTATTATGCTAAACTTTTCTTAAATTGCCATTTTATAAAAGTTATAAAAAAGTAAAAGCTTTTAAAATTATATTGATATTTCAAAAATATACCAAGATAAAACWTTTGTACTATTGTTTTCACTGTTTGTGTATTGTGCGTTGTTTTATACTAAATATAATTATAAAATATTAAAGTTATAACTATACTTAATATAAACTACTTTAAGTCTCTTAAGTTTATAAAGTCTACATACAGTATAAAAATTACTTAAAATCTAAAATACATGATCAAACATAATCTAATGATTTTTTGTAATTTTCTTTAATATAATTAAATTTTTAGATAATAATAATTTACTTATCTAATGTTAACAATACTGTAAATAAAATTATTAACTAATATTTTTCTGAATTAAATATATAAAACTATTTTTAAATATATTTATAAATTATAGAATCTATAGATTTTGAAGTAAAGTCAACAAATTATTTTAGATTGTGCTAGTATAGATGTCACTATATTTTATATTAATTTTTGTAATATTTCTAAATACTACTGTATATTTAAATATMTATATAATTTATTTAATAAAATATTTTAATTTTATTACAAAAGAAATAGTTTGAAACTGTTTTATATGGAATATATGATTAAATATTTATTAATATTACTTAATTACTAATATGTATGATATAATTAAATTCTATATATTTTAGCTAAATTTAATATATAAGTTGTTCAATATCTAATTATTACTTACCGTAATTTAAATTGTTAATTTTATTCTAAAAATTAAATTAAGTGTGACATCAATTTTTATAACTTGTATTTTATATGTTAAGATTTTTTAATAAATATGATAATATTAAATTAGAAAAAATTAATACAGTTTGTATACAAATTATATAATAATCTAAAAATTAATAAGTAATTAACCTGTAAAAATTATATAAAATCATAAATAATCAAAATTTTGGTGTTTTTAAAATTGCTATATCAAATAATATAACACTAATTTATTTAAAATCAATTATGTAAAATATTATAAAATTTAATTAAATTGATCAACAAAAAGTAATTTATTTAATAAAAAGTAATTAAATTACATTAAATATATTTTTGAATATAAAAACTAATTTGTCATGTATTCAATAATACTCATTAATATATTTAATGCATTTTAAAAATATGTGTCACTTAATAAAAATCGATTTTAATTAGTTAATTTAATTAACCTCAAAAATAACATAAAATGATTTAAACTTTTCTTTTACAAAATTTATTTTTTAAACTAATAATTTAATTAATTAACATTATATAATAATTTATAATAATATACTTTTAATAGAAAATAATATTCTTATTTGTCATACAAAAAAAAGTTAGATAAATAGTTAATATAWAATGACTTTAATAATAGATATCTTATATATAATTTATTTTTAATAAAATAGATAAGAAATCATAAGAAAGTTTAATCATTTGGTGAAATTTTTATTTGTTTTTAATAATCTTATTAATAGCTCATTAAACGATTATTGCAGCAAAAATAAACATAATTTTTTAATGTTTGGTTATTACCCTAATTAAAAATACTGTATAACTTGTAATCAATATTATTTATATAATCTGTAATCAATATTCTAATTACTAATTATAATAGTTGAAAAATATAGTATTTATAAATAAACAATAAATATAATTGTTTTATTATTTACATTATTACTAACATTTTGAAATTGATATGCATTTAAACTTAACTATCAATATTAATGGACTCTGATGATAAAGTTTTTAATTAGATTTGCAAAACAATTGTCAAATTATACTTTACACTAAGTTTGCACTAACAACTAACTTAAACAAATATTGTTTTATTAATAATTACTAATGTAATTAAGATAATAAGTTAAAAATGTAAATTAAATATATAAATTTAAAAGTATTATCTTTAAAWATATATATATATATTTTAAATAAAGTACTAAACATAGTACACGATTTAAAATAATACTGTACATTGTAGATGTATATTAATTAACTTATAATTTAGTTTTATTTATATTTCCAGTATTGATTCAATAGTTATATTAAAAGTTGAAATTAAATTAATTTAATAAATATTATTAAAAATTTATAGTATGTACTAGAATTATTTAATTAAATGATAATTACTATTTTAAAARCTTAACATTGTATTTATTTTAAATAAAAAGTACAAAAATAATTCATTTGAACTATTTGTACTATTATAATATTTTATTGCATTAATTTTTTAATATAAAAAATATTAGAATAAAAATTTCATAAAATATAATGGAATTAGTAAAATATTAATAAATCATATACTTATATAAACTAATTAACATTATTATTATTAGTTTGTAAATTATAAAAATATAAAGAATTAAATTTGCATTTATCAAATAAATTTAAACATTTTCAAAAAATATATCAAATATAAACTAAGTCTGAAAATTTGAATTAATAATTTTCTGTGTAATTGCAAAAACAAATGAAATATATTTATTTATAAATTAAAATCAATTAAAGAGAAAATTAATTGCTGTTAAATATGCTCTAATGTTATGTATAATATTGAATGCCCTTTACTACTGGTGCACAAAGTAAAGGGAGAGACATACAGTTGGATAGCTTATGAATGTTAGCAAACTATATAAATTAAACATTGGGTGAGTGAGTGAGTGAGTGAGAGAAAGAAAGAAAGAAAGAAAGAAAGAGAGAGAGAGAGAGAGAGAGAGAGAGAGAGAGAGAGAGAGAGAGAGAGAAATAAAACTTTCAATTGCTATAGTATTTCGTCAGTGACTGACTCTCCTCTAACACACAGTAAGTCCTAACCACCAGAGCTAACGTTTCACAGTATAAACATAAACTTGGTTTAGTTGTGCTCCGACTCTAATAACTAACGGATGTACAGTATTTAGTCCATACCTGTGTAGTACCAGTACTTCAATATTACTAATAATAATTATTATTTTATTTATCGGCATTAAATTGCTTTCACATGAAAGATATATAAAACTTTTTAATATTGATAATATGATATATAATCTTTTTTTATTCGTATTTTAAATAAATATTAATATATTAATACAATAATATCAAGTGTTAAACATTCGTTAAAAAATAAAACCGTTTTCAATAACTGTTTAATAAATAATTTGTTGATTTATTAATTAATATTCATTCATGTTTTAAATACTATAAAATTATTAACTATTCAATAATTAAAGTTCAATATATACTATTTACGTATATTTATAATATTTTTGATCGTAATGCTCTAGGTGCATTTTATTAATTGTCAAGTATTAGTATAATATTTAGCAACATTGTCAAGGTAATTTGAAAACATAAAATAATATATATTCATAATTTCAATTGTGCTTAATAACAACTTATGATATAAATTGTTACATTGATTTACTAAATTAAAAGGACTTACTTAATACACAAAAGTGACATGGTACATTTTATTTGACTATAATAATTATTATTAGTATTAGTACTGTATTAACAAAACTTATAGATTGTGTAAAAATCATTTTTCGATAAACTGTTATCTGATTTCTCTGACAAACAAAAACACTTTGTTTTGCTGATAAACTTTTGCGACAAAACTGATGTCTATGTAATGATGCCGTGCGTTGCCAACGAAGCTTGCGATGAGCACCGGACGGTCAGCAACAACAATGACAGACCATCGGTCAGTCCCGTGACTTGTCTCCCGAAGACCACTGAAAAGCAGAAAAACATATATAAACCTAAATATCACGCCTTCTCTATTGAATCTCTGGTCGGAAACTTGGATAAGAATAAGGCCAACAATAGTGAGAACACATCCGATGGTGAGTCCCATGAAGACGACAAGTTGTCGCGAAAGTCGTCCACAGCATCGGAATCATTGACATTAATATCCACTTCTTCGGCAACACCATCGCGAACACCGACACCCAGTAATGAAAAGCAATCGGCGAATGGCCTCAAAATACTTAAAGACAACAAACACCACAATAATAATATTAATGACAAAAATTTCATGATTGACGACCAATATTTAAACTACAGTATTAACAGATTGTCGCCCTCATCGATAGCTGCCAACAAAAATGGTATTTTAAGATCATATATGACAACCAATCATCTCAATGAAAACAGACTCACTAGTCAGCAACAGATAGAAACTATTACTACTACTCCCGGTGCTCATCAATACAGTAGTCACAAAAAAACCGATAACAATAACGGAGCCGTCATTAATCATAACTCTATTGCCATCAATAATAATAATCACAGCAATAGTAAAACATATGATCACATATTGAATATGAGAGTCAATATGAATAACGGCCACAATATAGCTAACAGAGCACACAGTCCATCGGCACTGACAGCTCATCATCATATGAGTCGATTTGTCGGCGGAGCCGGTAGTCATCCCATACAATCATCACCGTATGTCAGTAATCAGTACTATTGTAACCAATTGTATTGCCGTCCATTTGAGGACCGGCTTATCGGAGCCGGCAATCCATTTATACCACAAGTTTGCGGTATGTTTTTAAATATGTTTTTATATCTATCATTAAATTTTAAATAAAAATTTATAATTATTTGTTTTTAGTTATAATTAAATTAGTTAATACAATAATTAAATTTGACTATTAATATAATTATGTTTTGTTGCGAAATATTATCAATAATTTGCTACAAACGTATGGTTTTTTATTTTCCATTTATTTTTATATTTTTAATTAAATTTATCTATTATTAATTGTACCAGTGTACATATACTTTACATGCATAATCAATGTGAAATATTATTATTTATAAATATATATTGCACTTGAATTTGTGCAATTTTTTCCCATAAAATACAAATATAATTTATTATTAAAACCCATTTAAAATTGAAATTTTAGTTTATATGTCTCATATTATTATTGTTATTAATTATATATTGTATATTATAATGAAACGTATTTTAATTATTTTGTTATTATTATTATTATTACCTTTAAAAAGGTTATTATTTGCAAGGATTATTATTGAAAATTGAATGTGTAATTTGAGCTAGCACAAAAAATGTTATAATTACATTTATTACATTAAATAATAAAACTGTTATATAGTATATATTATATTATTATTATGAAAAAATGTTTAAAAATGTTGTTATTTATTATTATACCCGAAAGACTTTGTGTGAAAATTTGCTAAATTTAAATGCAATAAAAATTTAATTACATAATAAAATTATATTATTATTGTTGTTGTAGTAGTAGTAATAATAGTTTGTAAAAAAGTCATAATTGTCATAATATTTGTTTGCCCACACATTTTTGCATATTATTGATATTATAATGAGGTTTTAGTAATGATATATTATTATTATTACTATTATTGCTGTTATTATGTGATCTACTAGTTATGAGGAAATGTTAATAATATATTATTTAAAATTACCAAGTTAGGTTTATAAAATWATTTTATATTTTGATAAAATAAATTGAGTTAAAGTATAATAATATACTTTAATTGCATTTAATAATATTAAATCAAATATAAGTAAAAATTTATAATTTAAATGTTATATTGCAAATGAAAATATATATTTATTTAATTGAATTATGAATTTGTTTTTTCTAAGTGTAATATATATTTTTTACATATTTATCACATCAATCTTAAAATAATATTTAATCATAATTTTTTTGTATAAATGTTTAATATATAAAAAAATATTTATATTTCCTTTTTAAAGTGAAAATAAATTGTCATAAAAATAAATGACAATCAGCTTATAGTCGTTTTGTTAATTAAAAATTATTTATTTAATAGCTTTTAAAAATTTATATATAATATAATTAACGATTATTTAGTCATTAATCAGCATTTAATATTTACTTAAATATATATACATATACTGTATTTATAAGCATACTGTAAATGCTATTTATAYGGTCAATACAATGGACATTTAATATATAAATACATATATTAAGTACATTAAAACCTAAAATTGATWTATTACAACAAAAAGTAAAAACAATATTTTAAATTTGATCATAATAAATGATTAGATTGTAAATTAGCTTAATAACAACAACAAAAATAGTAATAGTGTATAAATACCTAATATCTAATTAATTTTAGATCTACTGTCTATCACTTAACTAATTATAAAATATATATCCATAAAATTCAAGGTCTCATTAAAATTGTGAGTCTCTCTCTCTCTCTCTCTAACCTCGAAAGGAGTAAGTAATTAATTAATTTTTATTAACCGACAAATTAATAGATAATACAGCAAATTATTGACGTAATTTTGATTACATGGTAATAATTTTGGTTTAAATTTAGAAATTAACATTTCAAAAATAATTTTTAATTTTGATGATAAACATCACATAATTTTATTTAATTGCTATTTTAATAATCATTTATTTATGGAATTTTTTTTATACGATTATATTATACTTTATTTGGCAACTATAATGAACTCAATTTTGTGAAGCAAATGTGATAATTGAAATATTTAACAAAACACATTTAGATATTAAAGATTGTATTTTACATAAATATACAGTATTTTTTCCTATCAAATGTAATAAATACAGTATTTATATACATAAAACATTAAATAAATTTGATAATTCAATATAAAATGTAATAGTAATGTAATTTTTCAAAGTAATATATTTAATTTTTAACAAAATTTTTATCTTTTTTCTTTTTAAATAATACATTACCTAACTAATTAATTTTACGAAAATATTACTAATTTATGGAAACTGCTAAAATAGGAAATATCTTTAATTATTTTGATTATAATATTATGTTTGATGTATAATCGCTTTTAACAAGCAATTTAATTTATCATTTGCATTAAAATTGTCTTTTACAATATAAAGTTATTTTTATATTTATATTACTCTAAATCAATAATAAAATAACTTTTACTAATATATATATATAATAATGAATTACTAAATGAGTATTATTATTTTAATTATATTGAATTTATTATTATAAAAACTAATTGCAGTAAAATTACTTTTTATTATATTATATATTATTATTTATATATATATATTGATAAATGTACATATTATATAAATTTCTAATATATTATTAATATAATTGCAATAATTTTACACATCATATTAAATATCACTGCTTAGGTACACATTAACCAAATAATAATTATTTTGCTAAGAGTACTATTTTTGTGTTTAAAAAAACGATATCGTATAAATTATTTTATATACTTATTATAATACAACTATGTTATATCAATAATATTGAATTGCAAACAAAATATAATATTATATACACACACTAATCATTAAAGTGAATATTGAATAAACAAATAAATGTCTAATTATATGTACATTTAATGTGTGTATGTGTATGTGTATGTGTATGTGTATGTGTATGTGTATGTGTATGTGTATGTGTATGTGTATGTGTATGTGTATGTGTATGTGTATGTGTATGTGTATGTGTATGTGTATGTGTATGTGTATGTGTATGTGTATGTGTATGTGTATGTGTATGTGTATGTGTATGTGTATGTGTATGTGTATGTGTATGTGTATGTGTATGTGTATGTGTATGTGTATGTGTATGTGTATGTGTATGTGTATGTGTATGTGTATGTGTATGTGTATGTGTATGTGTATGTGTATGTGTATGTGTATGTGTATGTGTATGTGTATGATTGAATAAATGTTGGCAAAAGCGGAGCAAAAAATTAATTAATTGAATAATTATTTAATGTGCAGATCATTTCACAAATTAATTACATTTCCTAATTTAGATTAATAAATGTACTGAATATACTGTGTATATATATATATATATATATATATATATATATTGTTTTATAAAATAAGCATTAATATAATTATTTTAATAGTCGTAATAATTACTCAATTGCAATAACTAATTAAAAACATTGACATCCAGGTGTTTGACTATTATGGGCTATTAAAATGACAATTGATTGTATAAAAATTGAAACAATAAAACTATTTTTAAGAGTATTTAAGATAAATGACTTATTGACTGGAGTTTAGTGCGAATAATTTAAAAATAATTAAAAAATTCACACAAATTATAAATTTAAAATTCAGACACAAAAATAAAGAAAATTAAAAATTAATTAACTTTTGGCATTTTTATTAATATAGATAATAGTTAAAAATACATTTTTATGTACTGTTAATAGTCTCTTCAAAATACAATTGATTGATAAGTTTGTCACGAAATGTTTAAATCATTCATCAAATGATTGTCACACATTAAATAATATTAAACAAAATATAATTGCCATCAATAATACAATTAATTGAGAAAATTAGTTATTAGTATTGTTGTTGTTGTTGTTGTACTTATAATAGCGATTATAATTGATGTGTATTGTCATCGTCTAAATGGATGATATTTTGCGATCATTACTGTTATACAGTATTACTYATACAACACACACACACACACATATATATCAGGGTTAAGTAAGGGGGGGGGGGGTAGGGGGGTAAGGCCAAAATACCCCCCCCTAAGATCGAGAATTTGGGATTTTACCCCCCCAGACTTTTTGACCAAATTGAAAAAATTGTTGCTTAAAAACGAGGAGAAATGACCCCCCCCTAAAATTTCGGCGCCGAAGGCGCCGAAATTTTTTTAAGTTTTTAAAAATTTTAATTAAAACTATTTTAGTATGTGTTTTTGTTTTTAAAATTTATATAAATCTAATTATTGATTATAAATAAGTAAAAAAGTTAAAATAACGTCATCAAAAAAACATAATTTTAATTAAAATATTAAACTAAAAAATTAAAAATTACATATTTGTTGAAAAGAATAATCATATTACATTATAAATAGAAGTTTGAGATAGTTTAAGAAGTTAATAAAACAATAAATACATATATTATAGTTTTTAAATTTTATATAAGAATTTTGAAAATATTTTCAATTTTATAATTAATATAGATAAAACTTTAACGAAAATTGAGTTAAGTAATTAGTATTCAGTCAGTATTTGTATAAAAATAACATATACCTATAACTATAAACATTAAATATTTAAAAAATTAATTATTTTAAAATTTAAAAATTACTAAAATACTAAAAAAACTCATTAATACTTTTATCAACTATTTTAATCTAAAATACACATTATTTTATTATTCGTTAAAATTTAAGTTTTTATTAATTTTTAAAATTTTTTTTAAAAATTATTTATTTTTTGTTAAAATTTAAGTTTTTATTAAGTTTTTTATTAATTTTTAATTTTTTTTAATATTTTTGGAAATTTTACCTATTTTCCTGGGAACTTATACGGGAACTTATGGGAATTTTCCTTAATTTACATGGGAATATTCGGGACACACCCTTGATTTTGGATTTTTGAAAAAATTGCCGTTTAAAAATGCAATAAAAATCTTACCCCACCCAATACCCCCCCCCCCCCCCCAAGATTTTTCGAGAATTTTGCAAATTTTACCCCGGTCTACCCCCCTAAAATCCAAAACCTTGCTTAACC